GTCCAGGAGATCTCGCAGAGGTCGCCGGACGCCGGCGACATGTAAACTGACGATAATTAGACGTGAATCAACACTCGTAGTGGTGGCATGTAACCGTGTGCGTAGCGCAGGAGGACTGGAAGGTTGGGCTGCCACCGGGAGACTCGGACCTCCGTTCCAACCAGTAGGGCGCCCTGCACCTACTGGTCCCGACCGTTTTTTGGACGTGCGGCCGGTACAGCACCCTCATGATGGGCATCCACTGCTTGCACCGATATCGGTGCTGGCTCACGGCACTCAGCTGCGCGATGCCCTGGCTTGCGACAACGAAAGCAAAAAATTTGACGCCCGGTGCGAGCATCACCCTTATGGTAAATGACACGTCACCGGTCACCCGACGACTCAATCACGTCGATCTCCATAGGTTCTGGACCAGAAGGCCGGGGAATGTTGACGACCGAGGGTTTGGCATAGTCTTTTGTGACCCTAAAGACCTCACGGAGGGCAATAGAAAATGCCTCCTCCAATGTGGCAGGCTCGGCGCGCTCCAGCGATAATCGGGTCTTCCCTTCACGCATACCATCCACAAAGACATTCACCTGCGTGTACATGTCCATGGGGTGCGTGATAATACACGACGCCAGATGCCTAGCCATCTGCACGTAGTCGTGCATCGCCATTTACCCTGTCGCATAGACAGGAATCTTGACCGAGCCAATTTCTCCTATTGCGGTGGCTCGAAGGCAAGAAGAAGGTCGTCCTGGATGGTATCCAGGGTGGGGAACGCGTGCTCGTCCACAATGAGATTACCAAGGGCACACTCCTTGGTCTTCCCGATGAGGCGGGAAAGAAGGAAGTTGACCTTCGCCTGGGTGCCTGGAGAAGTCTCGAGGCGATGGCGATATTAACTTCTCGGAACCACCGATTCAGCGACAACCGGTCCTTACCTTCTCCTGAGTATAGGGAGCTTTCCATCTTCACGGCCTTTTCTACGTGAAAGTCGCGAGGGAGTCAAACCTCGCCAATTGGATTCGGCGAGCTCGCGTGCCATAAACTCATGTATGGCGAGACGTTGCGCTTTAGAGTCGCTGATCTCATCAGCTACGCGACGAATGCCTCTCCTGATATCGCCGCGAGGCGATTAAGGGCATACCACTCAACACCAGTGAGATGGGGGAAGGTCGCGTGCTCCAGAAATAAATCTGGAGCGTCAAAGTACGACGATTCGCTCATCCCAAACTCGAGCATAGGAAGGACTACAAAGTGCTACCAGGTGTAACGGGGCTAGAACGTACCTTCACTAGCTCACACGCGCGCTTGAGGAAGACTCAAGCCCAAGTATTAGGTATTAAGTACTTTTTACTCTGATTTTTTTTTAAGTCGTACTACTTACGAAGAATTTGGTCGTAATAAATACGACAGTGTTCCCGCCTTTCTGGAACCACACAATTTCAGGTTGATTTATCATTGGTCCATATTGAGACTTAGGCCCCAATAATAAAACAGTTATCAATTGCCACGCTGTGCCAGCTATTGGGAACAGCACTGCGGGCTACATATGTAATTGTTTGTTTATGTTAATGGTATATGTGTAATGTATCCCATAACATAGACCTTCTTACCTCCGCGTGCGGTGGTGGTTGCGAAGAGTGTCAGCGCATTAAGCCTCCACCTTCGAACAGTGCGCCACTGAAGCCACTGCCGATTCCAACTGAATAATGGAAGTTGGTCAGTTTGGACTTCATTTTGGACTTCAGGTTTGACTTACCGCCTGACCATAAAGGCAGGGCGGGGGTCTTTGTCTTTGTAAAACGACTGAGCAATACGGTGCATTTGGCACCATTCAGCACCAAGATATTAGGAAAAGAGGCTGTCTACTTGTTTCTGGATGATTTGTACCGATTAAACGGGATGCCCGAGTCCATAGTATCGAACCGGGATCCATGTTTTACGTCAGTTTTTGCGTCAAGTGTTTGAGTTGCTAGAAAGCAAGCTCCACATGTAAACCGTCGTGGCGGATGTATTGCGCACAGTATCGACTCCTATGGAATGAAGCAAGCAAATTGCCATTCGTGGAGCTCGCTATTGATAACAGTGCTCAGCCCAGTACGGGTAAAACACCGTTTTATTTTAAAACTGCGGCATCCTCCGACGTCAGTCTCGTTCGTGCGCAGCCCGAGTCTTATTTGGGGGAAGGCCCCTCACTTCGCTCGGTGCGAATGCCAAAGAGGGTCAAAATTGCCCTAGTGACACTGCTGGTTTAGCAGTGGTCACGACACCTTTAGGTGTTAATAAGGAGACACGGCAAGAAATGCCTGTGCTCCTTGACAATGACACTAAAGTGTTATTAGCAGCGTCGACCCATTACCGACCTCTTGGGGGTGTCATAGGCGAGCTGGATGCTAAAAGCGTGAGCAAAAATCAGCGCTTCGTGGATGAGCGATTAGCCATCACACGTTAAGTCCGTGACGCGATGGCAAGCGCACAGGACAAGCAAAATCAATATGCAGACCAGCATGGTCGCAAAAACAATGAACACTTTAGTGTGGGGGACAAAGTGCTATTAAGTACTGCTACCTCACCTAAACATGCAATTTCTGTACTACCTGGTGATACTACCAAGCTATTGCCTCAATTTATTGGCCATTTACGGTGATCGAGGAGTTAAAGACTCAATTATAGGCTCACTCTCCCATCGTATATGAAGACTCACCCCGTATTTTACGTGGGTCGTCTGAAGCAGTATGTGGATCCACAAGAGATTACATATTCGCATTAGTGTAACGAGACCGATGGTGACGTCGACTATGAGTCGTGCGTCGTTGCCGATCAGGCGACGGAAGGTGAATGGCTTCCCGTGTAATAGAGAATGACAGAGGACTCAGTGATCGAGGAGAACTCCGCGTTTGATGCGAGCCTCATTATAAGTCGCTCCAAATGTCCAAACGAAGGTTCAGGCGGTCATAATCCTGACGTTTCCTCGTCTTCATATCTCGTAATCCGAAGTCAGTCGTGAGACTTGACTCGAAAGATCGGCCACCTCTTTATTCAGCGCAGCGTTCTCCGCCTGAGAGTGAACGACAGCAGGATAGTCACCCGCGAATAGTTGGGTGTAATCGCCGCTCCTATTGGGCGACACCTGTGTTGGTAGATGCGGGTGGGAACTCGCGCTTCTTGCTAAAAGGTTGTTGGGCCCCCGCCATGTGAAGCAAAAGCTTCAGATTATTTTTCATTGGAAAGGATACCCGAAAAGAGCTTCTACTCTTGGGAATTGGTTGACGCGTAGCGCGTCAACGTGCCTGGGCTGGTGAATGCTTACGATAAGAAGCACCAGTTGCACTCGCTCTGCTAGGTTCTGAGGGACTAGCAAGGGTAGCGTAACGAGAAGGAGTTGGGGGTATGTTACCACCCAATATCTCCCTCGCACGCGTCATAGCGAAGCTAACTCGCTGCGACCGCTGTTTCACTGCATCTGCATGCGGTGCATACACGGCGCAGGAACTCTGCTTCGTATTTGTCGGTTGTTTCATTTGAACGCAACACGACGGGGATAGAGAAAGCACGACTTAGTGCTTTGCCCTGCCTTTTCCATATTGGAAAGACGATATAAAGTTCATTAGCTTCATTAGTGGCACACTTCAAAAGCTTCACACTATAACCACTCGAGTGTGACCAATCGGATGGCGGCGGCATTGGTGGCAAGCCACCACTCACGTAGCCGCCCTCGCGGCGGCGTGCTAGTGAGGCCGACTGTGAAGTCAAAGGAGCTTTTAGCTCACCCTCGCCTGAGTCTGGCTCTCTATTATGGATTGTCAAGACTTCAGACGTAGGGTTAACAGAGGCGGGTGATTTATAATCGACGACCTGCTGTTGTGCCGCGGCTGTTTCTTTCGAAGCAGCGCGCTCATTGGCGCAGACGACGAAGCATGACCCTCGCTGTCAGGAAGCATGGAAGAATCCTGAAGATTAGGTACCTCAAATGATGGGGACATATGTTCCATCAACACACTGTGCTCATCACCACTTTGAGGGATGGCAATGGCGTGCTAGAAAGATCCTCATCCGCACAATAGTGGTGCTCTCTGCTGACAAGCTGACATTAGATGTCGGCGTTGTCACAGAGAAACTTAGCGACGGCTGCGAGTTATCATGGAGCGTACTCTTTGTGCTGGTCTGCATGGAAGCCTTCGCAGACGATCCATCAGCCTTACCACGTTTCGGTGGCATCTTCTTGCTTAGGATGTTTTACAAAAATGTGTAAAACGTTTTAAAGAGGTGGATGGTGTAACGGGACGATGGTTATACGAGTTCATTAAGTATATGATACTTAACGGGTAAGTCTAAAAGGGTACGCGGTACCTTAGACCTCCCACTTGGGTGAGGCACATCAATGTGACCCACCCTCGTGAATGTGATATCCATGGATGAATTTGCATTCAACGGGGATGACGCCTAGTTGGGACTAGGCGACATGGTGACGCTTTAAACGGACGTCATCATCGAGCTTAAATATATTTTAAGCTCGCACGTAGGGTCTTGAATCTGCTAAACATTGTCCACTGCGCACGAGAAGCTGAATAATCTTCTGCGTGTCGTAAATGAAGTACTTGTTAGAAGTTCGTTGCGCGGTTCACTTAGGCTACCGGCAACGGTTTGTACAGCGCCTCGGCACCGACAACCACCGCCACCTACGCATGCGGAGGTAAGACGGTTTACCCGCTTCCTCACGCTGCTTGAAGGTGTATGCTAGTAGTACATGGCAGCTTCTTTCGAAGTGATCGTCTACAGCCGACATCAATCACCTGGCAGGCTTAACGAGCCTTCCTTGTAACTTGCCATGATGAGTTGTCGACTCAATTGTCGGAAAATGGACATATACGCGTGGCAAACTCAGATCAGCTCATTTGTTACGTGCAATGCCGCCCCATACAACTAAAAAAAGGTCAAATGAGTGATGAGTATGTTAAATTTTCCATGGGTGTGCGTTAGAGTTTCCCGTACTCGGCCAATACTTCGTAACGTTACTTAGACATTTGCTGCAGGTTTGCGCTCAAATCTTCCAGCAACACCTTCGTATCGTCAATCAGCTGTGTCTCAGCGCGCAGCACTTCAAAGCACATTTTTTTCTTCTCTGTCGACAACACCGACGAGGGCCCTGTGCGACTGAGAGAACTCCAATACCTATTCGAGGAAGATGCCAAAAGAGCCGAGCTCTCCAAGGATCGCGCTGCGCACTGGCCTTGTACTGTCAGCTCCGCAACCCGAGACTTCATGCGACGTACCTCGATAGCCATGAGCTCTAATTCAGTCATAAACTCGCGCTCAGCACGCGATAGATGTGGTTGATTTTCCTTCACTGCCTGGAGCACAGCTGCCGCGCGTTTACTGAGGTTCTGTTGCACTGCTAGAGCGCGTCCCATTTTCTCCTGCAATTTCTTCATTGAAGCACTAGCGTCATCCGCGTTCTTCTGCACAAGTAGCACCTTCTCGGCATGCGCTTTTGTCATTGTAGCATGTAATTGAAGTCGGTCATGCATGAGCTGGCCAATCTCGTCGATGTACTCCACGTCCTCGTACAAAATTTTTACTCGCTCCAGCACAAATGCAAGCACAGCGTCGTCCACTTCGTGCATCAACGTGTTGCCGGTCACTCTGGTTCCACGCGCACGGAGAGCTTCCAACTTCTCCTCGACGATATCTCCAAATGGCCGGATCCCACCCTCAGTCAAATTTCTACTGTATGCCGTCACTAGGGCTCGCGACTTTGAAGACGCCATGGACGCTAAAGTGGCGGGCAGCATCTTCTGTAAATCACTGGAAGGTTTATCATTACTGCTGTCCATGAGTACTCCCTTGAGTAACTCACTGGACGCGGCACTAACGTTCACAACTTCAAAATTACCAGACGCGAGGCGTAGCAGCAGCAAGTGCCCAAAGTTCACATTCTTCACGACGCGTACACCGACGACATTCGAAATTACAGTATCGGGCGCAATTGGGGCAGCCGAAGAAGGACTAAGGCTGTTTGGCGATACACTGAAGATGTGGCGAACGGAGCTCTTCGGCAGCGTGGTAAACTGTTTGCCCAAGGCAAGCGCAATTACCCAGCCAACGTTAATAACATGCACCCCTGTTGAGTGTAGGCAATAGACTAGCTGTGGGTCAGTAGCGTCTCGCTCCAGCACAGCCTTGCCACCAGAATCATCAATGCCAAGATTGAGACACTCCACCAGCAATGCCGACAGTTTGTGCGCAGCGACTGGAGGTACTGGCTGGCGATGACTTATCCAATGCGGTCGTATAGGAGCGTCAAGTAGAATCAGCTCGAGGTGACCTGATGTAAAGGTACGCATCAGGAAGGGTGATGCGCTAATCGAGCGGTTCTCCGCAGAGTTGCGCGAAGCATGCGGCACCACAAGCAGTGACGTCGCAGAAGATCCTCCAGATATTTGGTTTTTACCCTCCACAACCGACTGGGGAGTCACGTCAACCGGTCCTTGTAGAGCAAGCGGCCACGTATCTGGCGAAATGCCACTCACATGAGGGCTGAGATAGCAGAACGTATCCAGGTTTGATTTGTCATTTTCTGCCGAAGGAGGTTGTAATCGCCCACCAAAGCTAAGGACATCATGTCGCGATATTGAGGATGCCTGTGCCCAACCTTCCTGCAGCCAATACTTTTGTGACATTAATTCTAGAAGACGGGATTGCAGTCCACTGCCGGTGGCCTCGATTTTCTGCTTGCAAATAGCAATCTGCGCATTCACTTCGCTGCTCAAAAGCTGAAGGAATGTTTTGCTAGCATAGCAACCATACGGCACCAATGGGCACAATGCGTACACAGTACCATCCGACCGTAGCACGTAGCATGTGAACGCATCCCAGATCTGCGCAGCGTGTATTTGCACTGCTTGATGCTGCTGCAGTTGGATCGAAGCACCAAAGCAGAAGCACACAGAGACAGCTTTAATCGCACGAGCCTTGGAGGGGATATCTAGACGGTGACGTTGCTCAGGTTTGGACACGTCCTGCTGTGTACTAAACACCTCGATCTCCTCTGCATCTGAGAGCACGACGACATGTGTGTCGCTCAACGGATGCCATGCCGCGTGACGTACATTGGAAAAGTATCCAATAGATCTCACTGCTGCTACACACTGTTCCTGCGACACAAACGTTACGCGCTTGCCCGGAGCAGCGTGTCGCTTGACCTGTTCCAGCACGTCGTCTGGGTCACGAAGCTCCTTTTCCTTCAGTATGACGTCCTGCTCGCTACCGTCCTCGAATCTTACAAGGAATCTCTGGATATTTTCATCCGTCATTCTGTGCTGCATCCTTTGTAGTTTGCATGTGGTCTCCATAGGAAGACGCAGTACCTTAAGCCAGCTCTTGGCCAGCAGCAGCACTTGCGAGCCACTGGTATTGAGCTTAATCTGCTCGACTTCTACGACCTCATGTGGTTGTAGTGGTGGATTCAGTGTCACATGTTGCAACAGCTCCTTCTTCTTTGGCTTGGACGGCGTCTGCTTAACTTGGCTCTGGTGGAACAGGTTGACCAAAAAGAGCTTACCATTATCGCCCCAGAGCACTGCGCTGCCATCGCACACGTCGAATGTTTGAAGATGCGCAGCTGTACGCAGATCCGCGTACGTGGGGGGTGATACAGAGCCACACAACTGCAAATTGGCTTGCAATGCCCAGTCATCTCCGGTAGCGCGCATGATGAAGAATGAAGGTCGCAGCTGGCGAGTGGCGAGTACAGATTTACAAAAGATATACAAACGATGTACCCTATTGACTATAGTCACATTTTACGTAGGCATTGTGCTTCAATGACCGTCACTCTAGAGTGTGGCTGGTCAGACGTGGCCAATTTGCGTTCGGCTAGACGCCTACGATGGAGCCGACGGTATTTGCATGTGTATCGTTCGGCATCACGAGCCTGCTATTGGTTTTAAATGGAACGGGTACGGTAGAGATACGTGAAGATTGCATTGTGTCGCACTATTTTCTTCTATCTCTAGTTCAAATTGTGCATTCGTTCATGATATACAGCTTGTCTGCTCAATGTGGAGAGTGTATGCCTCGTAACGCAATCTAGTAGCAGTGTGATGCTGATCATTGGGGTGTCGATACTAGTGCCAATCACTGGTTGCCTCTATGCGGCTCAAGTTGATATGTGCGAGGCAGACGACCAGAAGCAAATTTGTTTATTGCAAGTCCATTGGTGTTTGATTCCTGTGAATATGCAATGCAGAAGACGGCTAACTTTATGATTATCTTGCAGAGAAATGCAGAGAAGAAAATATGAGGCGCGCCCACGGAAGCAGCCTCAACGAGTGTTAATGTATCTGTATGCTGGGCACTTGCTGTCTGCATGGGTGCGTGACCAGTAGCATCATACCTACTGGCAGAAAGGATGTGGTTTATTTAAACTAAGTATTGGAATGGCCTTTGCTGCAGGGTGACCGCATGTGGCAGTTTGCTGTCCCAGTCCTCTTCATGGAAATCTTCGTGGATACATTGCTGCCAAGCGCCTGCTTCTCACTCGTCATGTATACTACGTGTCTCGTCGCAATACCATCGGTGGGACGACAACTTGATGCCGTCAATCGCTGGAAAGCCATGCGGCTCGCTATTGTGCTGGAGAATATCACGACCATTGCTTGTACTGCTTTGTTGGGAGCGATGCTGTTGTTAACAGGCGCGGACGGACTGCACAAACCAGAATGGACATGGCCGTTGACGCTGCTATTTGTAGGTACACTCATTTGTGGCGGGGTGGGTCAGGTACTTAGTGAAGCACAAACGCTTAGCATTGAGCGCGATTGGGTTGTGATCATTGCACAAAATAGTGGAGTGGAGCGCTCGAGTGCACTGATGAGGCTCAACAGTAGTCTCCGTCGCATCGATCTCGCGTGCAAAATGTTGGGACCACTTGCGTTCGGCGTTATCATGGATGTTGCCGGTCGCGACCCTACCAAGCGTGCCATGATCGGCGTGTCAACGGTAGCTATTTGGAACGGCCTCTCTACTCCACTCGAGTACTTCATGACGCGAGACATCTACACACTTGTACCCGAGCTTGCAACTAAGGACGGCAAATCGAGGCCTCAGTATGACGAAGAACAGGATCAAAATGCAGCAGACAGTAAAACTACGTTGTCTCGCTACGCAGCATTGTGGAGAAACTACATAAGGCACCCGGTTTTTCTACTTAGCTTTTCATACAGTGCCCTGTACATGACTATTTTGGACAACGGTTCGCTAAACACCGCATACCTCAAGTGGCGAGGCGTGCCCGACTCGTTGCTGGGATTTAGTCGTGGTGTCGGTGCAGTGTTCGGGCTTTTGGGTACCATGCTGTTCCCTTACTTGCGACGTACCATTTCCCGGCTAGAGCAAGTTGCAGTCTTCAGTATTTGGCTATTCTGGCTGTGCCTTGTGCCCGTGCTACTGATATTCTTGCTGGCTGGCGAATCGCGCATGTCGGACTACGTTATGTTGAGCTGCATAGTTGGTGCACGAATGTGGCTCTGGTGTGGCGACCTCGCAGAAACACAGATCATGCAAGAATGGATCGAGCCGAGCCACTGCGGGGCCATTAACGCCATGCAGACGGCCACATATCAATTCTTCTTCATGATTATTCAACTGCTGGGTGTCGTCTTTCATGACCCGAGTCAATTCCAAGCGCTCGTTTTCTTCTCCGTTAGTATGGTTCTTGCGGCAGCGGTAGGGTTCACGTTTTGGGACGCCCGGTTTGGCCAGCACCGAAGTCGGTATGTGCAGCCTGTCGCAACGACAAAGATACGGAGGAGGGCATGAGCCCAGCGTCGTAGACGACGACGATAAGTCGAATAACGGAAGCCTATCTAGTAGCAACGTAAATCTGGACACACCAAAGGTGACTACACCAACTGACATGTATTTCTACTGGTTGGACAAGATAACACTGTAATTTGTATCCCTGCAACCGCTAAGGCCTTATCGTCGGATGGAGCTTCGACGATGAAGGTCTCAGCACCAACCCGTTTTATGACATGAATGGTGGTGCTATTGTAATATGAGATAAATTTGAGGAATTATCTCACCGGCACTAGTCACCAATATAACAACCTCAAGTAATTAAGATTGTAAAAAGCCATCAAGTCAATGGCGAGGGTACGGACATTCTTTTATTGAAGGTACAAGCGAGGGAAATCTCCCTCTCACTTTCATTTCCAACGGGAAACAATGTTACAAGATAATACCAATACCTACTACCTACCGCAGTATCGGAACGTCAAGTGCGCAACGTTGCATAGCGCATCCAATAAAAACGGGGCAACAATCAGGCAACAGCTCTAAGAATGAAAAAAAACAGTCCACGGCAGTGCCTGGGATCGGCCAATTCCCTTGGAGTTTGGTACACTGTTCCATGTAGTCAGTTCAGATCCTACTCTTATGATAAGAATAGGATGTTTGTGAGGCACAAATATGTCTGTCTGCTCTGCTCTGATCTGCCCTGCTTTGTGCTTTTACCGCTCTCATCTTTGCTTCCTCTGGACCTCAGCGCCTACTTCAGAGCCTCTCGATCGGCTGTACGTGTCGCGTGCTTGCATTCAGTCATTCCTTTAATCACTTTAGGTTGCTACTCACGCTCGACCCTTGCCCCGACGTATTTTTTAATTGATTGACAGCCATGGTCCACGTGCGCGCGATGCGCAGCCTGACGATCGTGGCTTTAGCCATCGTGCTCATCACTACGACGCAGGCTTTGACTACGGATACTGCCAAAGCGCAAGCCAAGCGTAACCTCCAGTTGGGCCTCAGCGGCATCGACACGAATTTAGGAAGCGTCACGGACCCCGTAACGAAGCCCTTGGACCAACCAAATCCTTCGCCGACTGACACGCCAGCGGCGGATGCTCCATTGACCGTAGACGCTCCGGTTACCTTGCCACTGGAGACACCGGTAGAACCATCGCACGTGTTGTCTCCTGTGACCAACTTGTTGACTCCAGTTTTGCCCACGAGCGCACCTACGGTGACACCGAACGTGGATGTACCTCCGCCGTCATTAGTACCGGATACACTACCAGCCGTATCACCGTTACTGTCACCGTCGGCACCCGACGCAACGCCGCCACCGTCACCGTCGGCACCCGACGCAACGCCGCCACCGTCACCGTCAGCACCCGACGCAACGCCGCCACCGTCACCGTCGGCACCCGACGCAACGCCGCCACCGTCACCGTCAGCACCCGACGCAACGCCATCACTGGTATCGGACGCACTAGCAGGCCCGACATCAGTGGTGCCAAACATTCTATCACCGTCGTCGTCACCGGCGGCACCGGAGGCACAATCGCCGTCACTGATCCCGGGCATACTACCGGATTCGCCGTCACAGGTGCCGGACACACCAGCAGGCCCGACATCAGTGGTGCCAAACATTCTATCACCGTCGTCGTCACCGGCGGCACCGGAGGCACAATCGCCGTCACTGATCCCGGGCATACTACCGGATTCGCCATCACAGGTGCCAGACACACCAGCAGGCCCGACATCAGTGGTGCCAAACATTCTATCACCGTCGTCGTCACCGGCGGCACCGGAGGCACAATCGCCGTCACTGATCCCGGGCATACTACCGGATTCGCCATCACAGGTGCCGGACACACCAGCAGGCCCGACATCAGTGGTGCCAAACATTCTATCACCGTCGTCGTCACCGGCGGCACCGGAGGCACAATCGCCGTCACTGATCCCGGGCATACTACCGGATTCGCCATCACAGGTGCCGGACACACCAGCAGGCCCGACATCAGTGGTGCCAAACATTCTATCACCGTCGTCGTCACCGGCGGCACCGGAGGCACAATCGCCGTCACTGATCCCGGGCATACTACCGGATTCGCCATCACAGGTGCCAGACACACCAGCAGGCCCGACATCAGTGGTGCCAAACATTCTATCACCGTCGTCGTCACCGGCGGCACCGGAGGCACAATCGCCGTCACTGATCCCGGGCATACTACCGGATTCGCCATCACAGGTGCCGGACACACCAGCAGGGCCGACATCAGTGGTGCCAAACATTCTATCACCGTCGTCGTCACCGGCGGCACCGGAGCGTACCATCGCCGTCACTGATCCCGGGCATACTACCGGATTCGCCATCACAGGTGCCGGACACACCAGCAGGCCCGACATCAGTGGTGCCAAACATTCTATCACCGTCGTCGTCACCGGCGGCACCGGAGGCACAATCGCCGTCACTGATCCCGGGCATACTACCGGATTCGCCATCACAGGTGCCGGACACACCAGCAGGCCCGACATCAGTGGTGCCAAACATTCTATCACCGTCGTCGTCACCGGCGGCACCGGAGGCACAATCGCCGTCACTGATCCCGGGCATACTACCGGATTCGCCATCACAGGTGCCGGACACACCAGCAGGCCCGACATCAGTGGTGCCAAACATTCTATCACCGTCGTCGTCACCGGCGGCACCGGAGGCACAATCGCCGTCACTGATCCCGGGCATACTACCGGATTCGCCATCACAGGTGCCGGACACACCAGCAGGCCCGACATCAGTGGTGCCAAACATTCTATCACCGTCGTCGTCACCGGCGGCACCGGAGGCACAATCGCCGTCACTGATCCCGGGCATACTACCGGATTCGCCATCACAGGTGCCGGACACACCAGCAGGCCCGACATCAGTGGTGCCAAACATTCTATCACCGTCGTCGTCACCGGCGGCACCGGAGGCACAATCGCCGTCACTGATCCCGGGCATACTACCGGATTCGCCATCACAGGTGCCGGACACACCAGCAGGCCCGACATCAGTGGTGCCAAACATTCTATCACCGTCGTCGTCACCGGCGGCACCGGAGGCACAATCGCCGTCACTGATCCCGGGCATACTACCGGATTCGCCATCACAGGTGCCGGACACACCAGCAGGCCCGACATCAGTGGTGCCAAACATTCTATCACCGTCGTCGTCACCGGCGGCACCGGAGGCACAATCGCCGTCACTGATCCCGGGCATACTACCGGATTCGCCATCACAGGTGCCGGACACACCAGCAGGCCCGACATCAGTGGTGCCAAACATTCTATCACCGTCGTCGTCACCGGCGGCACCGGAGGCACAATCGCCGTCACTGATCCCGGGCATACTACCGGATTCGCCATCACAGGTGCCGGACACACCAGCAGGCCCGACATCAGTGGTGCCAAACATTCTATCACCGTCGTCGTCACCGGCGGCACCGGAGGCACAATCGCCGTCACTGATCCCGGGCATACTACCGGATTCGCCATCACAGGTGCCGGACACACCAGCAGGCCCGACATCAGTGGTGCCAAACATTCTATCACCGTCGTCGTCACCGGCGGCACCGGAGGCACAATCGCCGTCACTGATCCCGGGCATACTACCGGATTCGCCATCACAGGTGCCGGACACACCAGCAGGCCCGACATCAGTGGTGCCAAACATTCTATCACCGTCGTCGTCACCGGCGGCACCGGAGCGCACAATCGCCGTCACTGATCCCGGGCATACTACCGGATTCGCCATCACAGGTGCCGGACACACCAGCAGGCCCGACATCAGTGGTGCCAAACATTCTATCACCGTCGTCGTCACCGGCGGCACCGGAGGCACAATCGCCGTCACTGATCCCGGGCATACTACCGGATTCGCCATCACAGGTGCCGGACACACCAGCAGGCCCGACATCAGTGGTGCCAAACATTCTATCACCGTCGTCGTCACCGGCGGCACCGGAGGCACAGTCGCCGTCACTGATCCCGGGCATACTACCGGATTCGCCATCACAGGTGCCGGACACACCAGCAGGCCCGACATCAGTGGTGCCAAACATTCTATCACCGTCGTCGTCACCGGCGGCACCGGAGGCACAATCGCCGTCACTGATCCCGGGCATACTACCGGATTCGCCATCACAGGTGCCGGACACACCAGCAGGGCCGACATCAGTGGTGCCAAACATTCTATCACCGTCGTCGTCACCGGCGGCACCGGAGGCACAATCGCCGTCACTGATCCCGGGCATACTACCGGATTCGCCATCACAGGTGCCAGACACACCAGCAGGCCCGACATCAGTGGTGCCAAACATTCTATCACCGTCGTCGTCACCGGCGGCACCGGAGGCACAATCGCCGTCACTGATCCCGGGCATACTACCGGATTCGCCATCACAGGTGCCGGACACACCAGCAGGCCCGACATCAGTGGTGCCAAACATTCTATCACCGTCGTCGTCATCGTCGTTACCGGGCGTACCATCGACTTTGCCGGACGGATTGGCAACAGGAGACTTACCATTTGCGAATCCAGATTTATTGGTGACCCCGGTGACATCGCCGACACCTGAAAGCTCAATGCCTATTTTGTCTCCTGTGGACAATTCGATGCATCCATTGCCAGCTACGGAGCCCACAACAACTGATAAAGCCGATCATGAGGCTACTGATACTACTGATAAAACCGAGGCTACTGATTCTGCCGAGAGTACCAAGAAGACTGACAAGATCCACAAAGTTGACTCTACCGATACTACCCAGAAAACTGAGGCTACCGATTCCGCTGAGAGTATTCAGAAGACCGAGAAGATCGAGAAAAAAGATGAGCCTGCCGATACTACCCAGAACACTGATACGACCGAAAATACTTCACCCCCGCCTGTGGTAAAACCAAATACAGGCATCCAGCCGGTCATTGGTATCGAGAAGAATTTTGGTATAGAGGACGAGCAGAACGAAGTCGAACAGAACGGAGTCGAACAGAACAAAGTCGAACAGAAGGAACAAGCTAAGTCAGATGTGATCATGTACAACGAATATGCCCCGCCTATGCTTCCGCCGAAACACCATTTGGATGATCCGTTTGCAATCCCTGACATACCTACCGGTGTTGAGAAGGCGGTTGTGCTGAATATTGCGGGAGACCCTGAAAATAAAAGCGGTCCTAAGAACGTGATGACCTACGTGCGAGGGAAGATGACGCCTAAGGAGGCTGATGTTGCGGATGCTAACGTGGTTGGTGGTCGAAACACTTATGTGGACACGGAGAACAGCGATGTGTTGTCAGCGTCAGCCGCGGCTTTCCACGGATTCTTGCGTTTCGCGTCGGTCGCGTTTGCTGGTATTTCCGTAGCATTGCTTCTCTTTTTCCACTTCGTTTCCCTTGACGCCAACTTATTGTGGGTTAATGCCGCGTGGAGCCCCAATACGTGGGAGTTCCTTTTCTATGTGGGCTACTTGCAGCAAATGCAGGCAACATCGGAGCTAACGCTTCTCAAGACTCCGTACTTTTTGTTGGACTACACGGATTCGTTTGCGTGGAGCAACTTCTTGATCCAAGTTTTTTCTAGTGATCAACCCGAGTCTCGTCGCTTGGAAACAATCGTGCTTGATGGCCTTGTATCGTACTCTGACCGTATTGGCATCTCGGAGAACAGCATTCTGGTACAAGGTGCCACTGGTTTCGCTGTGGTCATGGGCATCGTTCTGGTGGTCTTTTTGGTGCTGGCGGTGTTGGCCAAGCGGAAGGCAGAGCAAGCGCTTGACGAGTCCTCGGACCTAAACAGCTACACCTCTGGTGTACACCGCCTTCGCAGCGTGTCCATCCGTGCTCTTGGATTGTGCGTACTGATTTGGTATTTTGCTCTTTACCCGCTAAGCATGCTGGCATCTTTTGAGATCTCGATGGAAAAACAGGCTTCAACGGTGGCCAATGCGCTTGTAGTGGCCATCATTGCGCTAGTATTGGTGTGTTTCGGCGTGCTGGCTGTTGCTGGTCGTGTAATCATGCAAAAGACCAAGGATGAGCTAGAGCAGTTCGAGAACTTAGCCACGTGGGGGTCGCTCTACTGCGAGTACACATACCGCAGCCGGATGTTTTTCGTGATTGATGTGGTGGTGCAGATCACGACAGGCGTTCTCGTGGGCTGCTTGTCAGGTGATCCTACCCAGCTTATTGTGGTCATAGCTATCCAAGTGCTGTACCTCGCGTGCGTGTTCATCATGTCACCGTTCGCGGACCCAGTGGTGCTTCGAATTACATACGCCCTGGGTCTGCTCAAGGTCTTGAATTTCAGTCTGGCTTTTGCTTTCCTGAACTCGAACAGTATGTCGGCGTTGGCTCGAACGCACGTAGCTCAAGCTTACATCGGCATCAATTCGATTGTAATTCTAGTGTGGTTCGTACGCCAGCTCATCGTCTTCAGCACATACATCCGCGCGTGGATGGTGTATTTTAACGACGAATCGCGCCGCAGCAACTCGGTGGTCAAGTACGTTCCGCGGACGGACACGGAGTCAGACATGTGGGCTAGCCAGTTTAATGGCTTCAACGACAGCAGACAGAACAATAGCAGGCTCAACCAGTCTGTAAACTCTGCGACACTGTCGATGCCCCCGAATTCGATGCAGCCGTCGTACGCGAGTTCGCCTGCGAATTCAATGCAGACGAACAGTCTGGTGTCTGCGCAGCAGTCAATGGGGCCATCGTTCGGCTCGGAGGCGCAGTTTCAGCAGCAAATGGCTCGTAAGTACGAGATTGATTTTTAAATGGAGGAATATCAATGAGAAGGTTTTGTTTCGAAAAAGAGAGAGGAGAGACAAGAAGACAACGTAGCGAGCAAGACAGTGAGTGTATTGTTTGTTTATAAAGCAATATATATTGACTACTTTTTAATCAGTCCCTCACATGCTGTTTTGTATACGTACGTACATCGAATCGACCTCATTGAGGTTCTCAGTTGCCATCTAAATCAAGACAGGGAATCAATCGATATCGGTCCGATTACTGTCGATTGATCTACAGTATGTATGAACACCAAAGGTAGGCACTCCTCGTAGCATGATCTCTCTTGCCAAACCCTCGCCCTACCAGTTGATACTGAGGTGTGCCGATAAGACCTCGTATAGTGTAAGAAGGGGCATCAATATCTTGTCCCCATAGAGAGAGAGAGAGACAGACCTTGCGTCTGTTGTACAATAGATTCGACACGTTTACTTTCTAAACTCTGAAAACTTTTGTAAAACGTCAAGTGACTTCAAGTACTTGAGCTTTGCGTTACAATCAACAGTCAATGAGCAAGAGCGTGGCATGTTTTGGTGGAACACTTTTCACAAGAGTTTGTTTTTTTTCATAGAGAAAACCAACGAAAAGTAATCGATTTAACCACATCGTCTAGTCGATAACTACAAAACGATGATAGACATGGAGAGTAATCGGTTTTACCACATCAGTACCTCAAATGTCCTTGTGGTAGTATTCATTCCTATGAGCGTATGCAATCCCCCATCCCAAGACTTTTGACAAAAGTTGATATTATACGACGTTTATACCGGGGACCTTTGATCGATTGTATCAACTTGATGATAAAATTGAGCTGACATGGGGGACGTATAGGCAGTACAATGGTTGCAACTATAAAGGGCCAGTCTAATAATCTAAGGACGTAGGGTGTTGTTTTATAATAAGTGACTGAGTAAGTCTCACATCAATTTGTTGGACTGTTGAAAAGCCAGTAGCAATACAAAAGAGAGACGTTGGCAATAGACAGAACGACATTTACAAGACAGTCTAACGAGAGATAGAGGGGACAGGGAAACGGACAGCAATTGAAAAAAAACACGCTATTGACGTGCAAAGGAACTTATTTATTCGACAAAATGGACCGAAGGCGGCGATGGAATTCTAGAAAACGAGCCCTGACGTTTGGTCTCATTGTGATCATTGTCATTGTTGTATGCGGAACGAGTCTCGTGGGAGCCGACCAGGTCAGCAATTTTGCACAACTCGAGACAAATGTTCGTCTCCCAAATTTAAATCAAACGACTAGAGACTTGAGGGCCAGTGCTAGCTCCATAGCGAACGCTAATTTAGATGATACAGACAAAGACGGTAATTTAGATACTGCAGATGCCAAGATAGATGATGCAGGCGACGACGCTAGCTCAAAATCAACTATGAAAAAGACGTCCGAGTCGACAAATGAGCCGACGACGGTAGATGATGGAAATAGTAACACTGCTGACACTAAAACGACAGCAATCATGACACCAGAAACAACACCTTTGGCGTCTTCTCATGCGAGTAATAGCGCGTCAGATTTAAGCACCACAACACAAACACCCCAGCCACCAAACACGCCCGAGGCGGTTACGATACCGAATTCTGGCTCAACTACAGAAGCCCCAACGTCTCCAACAAATGCGCCTTTGCCGATTGATTTGACAAAACAGATACCATCGATAAAGACTCCTACGACATCCGTTTCTCTGGAAAGTGAAGGTAGCACTGGTTCGAACAAAGAACCTAGCACGGATACACCGGCGGAGGCGCCTACGACGTCGGATGATGGTAGTGAATCTAGTAAGGCAGGTTCGCCGCCAGAGACTCCTACGAAGCCGGATGATGGTAGTGAATCTAATAAGGCAGGTTCGCCGCCAGAGACTCCTACGACGCCGGATGCTGACTCGGCTACAGATGCGTTAACGAAGACCAAACCTCCAACGAATGCGCTTTTGCCGATTGATTTGACAAAACGGCTACCATCGATCGAGACTCCTACGACATCCGTTTCTTTGGACAGTGAAGATAGCACTGGTTCGAACAAAGAACCTAGCACGGATACACTGGCGGAGGCGCCTACGACGTCGGATGATGGTAGTGAATCTAGTAAGGCAGGTTCGCCGCCAGAGACTCCTACGAAGCCGGATGATGGTAGTGAATCTAATAAGGCAGGTTCGCCGCCAGAGACTCCTACGACGCCGGATGCTGACTCGGCTACAGATGCGTCAACGAAGACCAAATCTGCAACGAATGCGCTTTTGCCGATTGATTTGACAAAACGGCTACCATCGATCGAGACTCCTACGACATCCGTTTCTTTGAAAAGTGAAGATAGCACTGGTTCGAACAAAGAACCTAGCACGGATACACCGGCGGAGGCTCCTACGACGTCGGATGATGGTAGTGAATCTAGTAAGGCAGGTTCGCCGCCAGAGACTCCTACGAAGCCGGATGATGGTAGTGAATCTAATAAGGCAGGTTCGCCGCCAGAGACTCCTACGACGCCGGATGCTGACTCGGCTACAGATGCGTCAACGAAGACCAAACCTCCAACGAATGCGCTTTTGCCGATTGATTTGACAAAAAAATTACCATCAATCGAGACTCCTACGACATCCGTTTCTTTGGACAGTGAAGGTAGCACTGGTTCGAACAAAAAACCTAGTACGGATACACCGGCGGAGGCTCCTACGACGTCGGATAATGATAGTGAATCGAATAAGGCAGGTTCGCCGCCAGAGACTCCTACGACGCCGGATGCTGACTCGGCTACAGATGCGTCAACGAAGACCAAATCTGCAACGAATGCGCTTTTGCCGATTGATTTGACAAAAAAATTACCATCGATCGAGACTCCTACGACATCCGTTTCTTTGGAAAGTGAAGATAGCACTGGTTCGAACGAAAAACCTAGTACGGATACACCGGCGGAGGCGCCTACGACGTCTGATGATGGTAGTGAATCTAATAAGGCAGGTTCGCCGCCAGAGACTCCTACGACGCCGGATGCTGACTCGGCTACAGATGCGTCAACGAAGACCAAATCTGCAACGAATGCGCTTTTGCCGATTGATTTGACAAAAAAATTACCATCGATCGAGACTCCTACGACATCCGTTTCTTTGGAAAGTGAAGGTAGCACTGGTTCGAACAAAGAACCTAGCACGGATACACCGGCGGAGGCGCCTACGACGTCGGATGATGGTAGTGAATCTAGTAAGGCAGGTTCGCCGCCAGAGACTCCTACGAAGCCGGATGATGGTAGTGAATCTAATAAGGCAGGTTCGCCGCCAGAGACTCCTACGACGCCGGATGCTGACTCGGCTACAGATGCGTCAACGAAGACCAAATCTGCAACGAATGCGCTTTTGCCGATTGATTTGACAAAAAAATTACCATCGATCGAGACTCCTACGACATCCGTTTCTTTGGACAGTGAAGATAGCACTGGTTCGAACAAAGAACCTAGCACGGATACACCGGCGGAGGCGCCTACGACGTCGGATGATGGTAGTGAATCTAGTAAGGCAGGTTCGCCGCCAGAGACTCCTACGACGCCGGATGCTGACTCGGCTACAGATGCGTCAACGAAGACCAAACCTGCAACGAATGCGCTTTTGCCGATTGATTTGACAAAACGGCTACCATCAATCGAGACTCCTACGACATCCGTTTCTTTGGACAGTGAAGATAGCACTGGTTCGAACAAAGAACCTAGCACGGATACACTGGCGGAGGCGCCTACGACGTCGGATGATGGTAGTGAATCTAGTAAGGCAGGTTCGCCGCCAGAGACTCCTACGAAGCCGGATGATGGTAGTGAATCTAATAAGGCAGGTTCGCCGCCAGAGACTCCTACGACGCCGGATGCTGACTCGGCTACAGATGCGTTAACGAAGACCAAACCTCCAACGAATGCGCTTTTGCCGATTGATTTGACAAAAAAATTACCATCGATCGAGACTCCTACGACATCCGTTTCTTTGGACAGTGAAGGTAGCACTGGTTCGAACAAAGAACCTAGCACGGATACACTGGCGGAGGCGCCTACGACGTCGGATGATGGTAGTGAATCTAGTAAGGCAGGTTCGCCGCCAGAGACTCCTACGACGCCGGATGCTGACTCGGCTACAGATGCGTCAACGAAGACCAAACCTGCAACGAATGCGCTTTTGCCGATTGATTTGACAAAAAAATTACCATCGATCGAGACTCCTACGACATCCGTTTCTTTGGACAGTGAAGATAGCACTGGTTCGAACAAAGAACCTAGCACGGATACACCGGCGGAGGCTCCTACGACGTCGGATGATGGTAGTGAATCTAGTAAGGCAGGTTCGCCGCCAGAGACTCCTACGAAGCCGGATGATGGTAGTGAATCTAATAAGGCAGGTTCGCCGCCAGAGACTCCTACGACGCCGGATGCTGACTCGGCTACAGATGCGTCAACGAAGACCAAACCTGCAACGAATGCGCTTTTGCCGATTGATTTGACAAAAAAATTACCATCGATCGAGACTCCTACGACATCCGTTTCTTTGGACAGTGAAGGTAGCACTGGTTCGAACAAAGAACCTAGTACGGATACACCGGCGGAGGCTCCTACGACGTCGGATAATGATAGTGAATCGAATAAGGCAGGTTCGCCGCCAGAGACTCCTACGACGCCGGATGCTGACTCGGCTACAGATGCGTCAACGAAGACCAAATCTGCAACGAATGCGCTTTTGCCGATTGATTTGACAAAAAAATTACCATCGATCGAGACTCCTACGACATCCGTTTCTTTGGAAAGTGAAGATAGCACTGGTTCGAACGAAAAACCTAGTACGGATACACCGGCGGAGGCTCCTACGACGTCTGATGATGGTAGTGAATCTAATAAGGCAGGTTCGCCGCCAGAGACTCCTACGACGCCGGATGCTGACTCGGCTACAGATGCGTCAACGAAGACCAAATCTGCAACGAATGCGCTTTTGCCGATTGATTTGACAAAAAAATTACCATCGATCGAGACTCCTACGACATCCGTTTCTTTGGACAGTGAAGGTAGCACTGGTTCGAACAAAGAACCTAGCACGGATACACCGGCGGAGGCGCCTACGACGTCGGATGATGGTAGTGAATCTAGTAAGGCAGGTTCGCCGCCAGAGACTCCTACGAAGCCGGATGATGGTAGTGAATCTAATAAGGCAGGTTCGCCGCCAGAGACTCCTACGACGCCGGATGCTGACTCGGCTACAGATGCGTTAACGAAGACCAAACCTGCAACGAATGCGCTTTTGCCGATTGATTTGACAAAAAAATTACCATCGATCGAGACTCCTACGACATCCGTTTCTTTGGACAGTGAAGATAGCACTGGTTCGAACAAAGAACCTAGTACGGATACACCGGCGGAGGCTCCTACGACGTCGGATGATGGTAGTGAATCGAATAAGGCAGGTTCGCCGCCAGAGACTCCTACGACGCCGGATGCTGACTCGGCTACAGATGCGTCAACGAAGACCAAACCTGCAACGAATGCGCTTTTGCCGATTGATTTGACAAAACGGCTACCATCGATCGAGACTCCTACGACATCCGTTTCTTTGGAAAGTGAAGATAGCACTGGTTCAAACAAAGAACCTAGCACGGATACACCGGCGGAGGCGCCTACGACGTCTGATGATGGTAGTGAATCTAATAAGGCAGGTTCGCCGCCAGAGACTCCTACGACGCCGGATGCTGACTCGGCTACAGATGCGTCAACGAAGACCAAACCTCCAACGAATGCGCTTTTGCCGATTGATTTGACAAAAAAATTACCATCGATCGAGACTCCTACGACATCCGTTTCTCTGGAAAGTGAAGGTAGCACTGGTTCGAACAAAGAACCTAGCACGGATACACCGGCGGAGGCTCCTACGACGTCGGATGATGGTAGTGAATCGAATAAGGCAGGTTCGCCGCCAGAGACTCCTACGACGCCGGATGCTGACTCGGCTACAGATGCGTCAACGAAGACCAAATCTGCAACGAATGCGCTTTTGCCGATTGATTTGACAAAACGGCTACCATCGATCGAGACTCCTACGACATCCGTTTCTTTGGAAAGTGAAGATAGCACTGGTTCGAACAAAGAACCTAGCACGGATACACTGGCGGAGGCGCCTACGACGTCGGATGATGGTAGTGAATCTAATAAGGCAGGTTCGCCGCCAGAGACTCCTACGACGCCGGATGCTGACTCGGCTACAGATGCGTCAACGAAGACCAAACCTGCAACGAATGCGCTTTTGCCGATTGATTTGACAAAAAAATTACCATCGATCGAGACTCCTACGACATCCGTTTCTTTGGAAAGTGAAGATAGCACTGGTTCGAACGAAAAACCTAGCACGGATACACTGGCGGAGGCGCCTACGACGTCGGATGATGGTAGTGAATCTAATAAGGCAGGTTCGCCGCCAGAGACTCCTACGACGCCGGATGCTGACTCGGCTACAGATGCGTCAACGAAGACCAAATCTGCAACGAATGCGCTTTTGCCGATTGATTTGACAAAAAAATTACCATCGATCGAGACTCCTACGACATCCGTTTCTTTGGACAGTGAAGATAGCACTGGTTCGAACAAAGAACCTAGTACGGATACACCGGCGGAGGCTCCTACGACGTCGGATGATGGTAGTGAATCTAATAAGGCAGGTTCGCCGCCAGAGACTCCTACGACGCCGGATGCTGACTCGGCTACAGATGCGTCAACGAAGACCAAACCTGCAACGAATGCGCTTTTGCCGATTGATTTGACAAAAAAATTACCATCGATCGAGACTCCTACGACATCCGTTTCTTTGGACAGTGAAGATAGCACTGGTTCGAACAAAGAACCTAGCACGGATACACCGGCGGAGGCGCCTACGACGTCGGATGATGGTAGTGAATCTAGTAAGGCAGGTTCGCCGCCAGAGACTCCTACGAAGCCGGATGATGGTAGTGAATCTAATAAGGCAGGTTCGCCGCCAGAGACTCCTACGAAGCCGGATGATGGTAGTGAATCTAGTAAGGCAGGTTCGCCGCCAGAGACTCCTACGACGCCGGATGCTGACTCGGCTACAGATGCGTCAACGAAGACCAAACCTGCAACGAATGCGCTTTTGCCGATTGATTTGACAAAAAAATTACCATCAATCGAGACTCCTACGACATCCGTTTCTTTGGAAAGTGAAGGTAGCACTGGTTCGAACAAAGAACCTAGCACGGATACACTGGCGGAGGCGCCTACGACGTCGGATGATGGTAGTGAATCTAGTAAGGCAGGTACGCCGCCAGAGACTCCTACGAAGCCGGATGATGGTAGTGAATCTAATAAGGCAGGTTCGCCGCCAGAGACTCCTACGACGCCGGATGCTGACTCGGCTACAGATGCGTCAACGAAGACCAAATCTGCAACGAATGCGCTTTTGCCGATTGATTTGACAAAAAAATTACCATCGATCGAGACTCCTACGACATCCGTTTCTTTGGACAGTGAAGATAGCACTGGTTCGAACAAAGAACCTAGCACGGATACACTGGCGGAGGCGCCTACGACGTCGGATGATGGTAGTGAATCTAGTAAGGCAGGTACGCCGCCAGAGACTCCTACGAAGCCGGATGATGGTAGTGAATCTAATAAGGCAGGTTCGCCGCCAGAGACTCCTACGACGCCGGATGCTGACTCGGCTACAGATGCGTCAACGAAGACCAAACCTCCAACGAATGCGCTTTTGCCGATTGATTTGACAAAAAAATTACCATCGATCGAGACTCCTACGACATCCGTTTCTTTGGAAAGTGAAGATAGCACTGGTTCGAACAAAGAACCTAGTACGGATACACCGGCGGAGGCGCCTACGACGTCGGATGATGGTAGTGAATCTAATAAGGCAGGTTCGCCGCCAGAGACTCCTACGACGCCGGATGCTGACTCGGCTACAGATGCGTCAACGAAGACCAAATCTGCAACGAATGCGCTTTTGCCGATTGATTTGACAAAAAAATTACCATCGATCGAGACTCCTACGACATCCGTTTCTTTGGACAGTGAAGATAGCACTGGTTCGAACAAAGAACCTAGCACGGATACACCGGCGGAGGCGCCTACGACGTCGGATGATGGTAGTGAATCTAGTAAGGCAGGTACGCCGCCAGAGACTCCTTCGTCGGCGGATGCTGGTAGCGAAGCTAGCGTTACGACGGAATCCTCTTTTTTATTACGGACGTCCGGTTCATCTGATGAAACGCCAGCGCATACCCCTACGCTTCCACTGACACAATGGAGCCCCCCTCCGGTGCTTAGGGCCCCTGCGAGAGTTCCAAAGTCACACTCTGAACTTTCCGTGTCGGATAGCTCTTCATCACAGACAGGGTCTTTCAATCCTCCACACTCGCTGCAATTGTCTAAAACTCCAGAGTCATCCCCAGATTCTCCAGAGGATGTTATGGGTATTCCTGCACCAGTGACAAGTGACCCACGAACGAGCACTAGACCGACGCCAACTACTGCTTCGTCGACTCCAACTCCAAATAAACCAAGCCCAAGTGTATCATCTTCGAGCACAAGTGGTGCGAGCTCGTCTGATTCGCCGGACTCGCCCGAGCCGAGTACCGATACCGCTCCAGCAGCGGCTTCGCGCAAGCCAACGGCATTAGACGACAATACTCCGAGTCCTGCACCGGTGAAAAGAGCTCCTGCGTTGAAGGTAGACTCGGCCAAAACTCATGATGACGGCAATGATGTTTCGCAAACGGAACAAACGTCACTGGAAATGTCCCCGTCTGAGTTGAATAAGCCTAGTCCGGCACCAGTTACTAGGTCGCCTCCGTCGAAGGCGATTATGATGCCTCCGTCGAAGGCGATTTCAATGCCTCCGTCGAAAGCGATTTCAATGCCTCCGTCGAAAGCGATTTCAATGCCTCCGTCGAAAGCGATTTCGATGCCTCCGTCAAAGGCGATTTCAATGCCTCCGTCTTTAGGGTCGTCTGACTCAATGGGGACGGTGATGCCTGCTGATATATCTGACATCACTGACTCGGCAGCAGAGAAAGTAGAGAAAGTAAAGGAAGTAGAGGAAGCAGAGGCAATCACGAAGCAAATTGATTCAGGCGGCCGCAATGAAGCAGACGAGAACATGATCAAGGACAACGACATGATTTTGCTGGGTGACACGGGCTCTATGATCACATATTTGGATGGAAACAAAGTTACAACATTTGAGAAGTACAACCGTGGTGTCGACGATCTGCAGACCATTAGAGATGAAGACGACTCATACAACAACATCATTGTTGGTGGCGGTAACCGGTCGAATCTACCACCCGGTGCTTCGATCTCACTGTCTTCCGCGTCACAAAAGATGCAGAACACGCTGCTCTATACTAGCTACACCCTTGGAGCTGTATCCACAGTGCTGCTGATGTTCTTTCACCTGCTGGCTCTTCATCGCCCACCATGGCTGGGTGGAAGCGGTGACCAGGGTGGAGGTAACGGTCGTACCAGCATGGGTTGGCTCACTCCTAATGTGTGGGAACTTATTGTAGTGGTTGGGTACATTCAACACATTAGCTCCATTTCGATGCTGGAGCTGACGAAAGCGCCACAGATCGTGTTGGATTTCACAGATTCGTTCTCGTTTGCAAACCTTCACCTCTCGTCGGTGACAACTACTGCCGTTTCTAAAGGCTCACGCAGATTGCAGCTGGTCATCTTGACAGGTATTGTCGCCTTCTCTGACCGCATCGGCGTCGACGAGAATGAAGTACTCTTGACCATGTTTTGGTTCTTGCTGGTAGCTATAGCCATCTTGGGTGTGCTCTTCGCTTCAGCTGCTGGATTCACATTTTACCGCCAACATTTGTCGGCAAGCACTTGGTCAGCGTTCTCAGCAGCTTTGCGCAGCAGCTTTGCCATGTGTGTAGTGGGCCTGGGTGTGGCAGCATGGGTTCTCAGCGTTTTTCCACTTGTGGTCATGTCTTCGTACGAATTGGTCATGCAGTTACGCTACCGAGTTGGAATTGGTCTTGCTGTGGCATTGTTCTCTTTGTGGGCCGTCGTGGCGGGCGGACTAAGTTATGCGTTCGTGAGCGTACGAGCCATCCCGTTGAAAGATGCGTTCCGTTTTAAGCATTTTGCAGTGTGGGGTTCACTTTACGGAGATAGTAAGATGGTCTTCCGCTACTTCTTCGTGGTAACAGTGAGTTTCCAGATTCTCCTCGGCGTAATTACTGGCGCTGTGTCGGGCATGCCAGCCCAACTCGTGGCGTTAATGGTGACGCACCTGCTATTCGTAGTCATTGCGCTTATCATCCGCCCGTTTGCGGATCGCTGGGTGCTAAGTGTCGTTGTGAGTCTTCGTGTCATTGCGATTGCAAACTTGCTTTGCAGTTTCGCGTTCCTTACGTCAAGTTCACTAAGTCTTCACTGGCGTGGTATTGTGGCGCAGAGCTTCGTGGTCTTCAACGCGATTACGCTCATTTTGTTCTTTGCGCGTTACATTGCCATGTTTGTGTTGGCGTTGAAGCGCTGGTCGAGCTTTACTAGTCGTGAGAGTGTCGAGCGATACGAGATGACACAGCGGCTCGCACGTTCCTACAATGACCGAACGCCGATCTTCGTGACACACGATTTACGCAACCACCACCAGCTCCACGACGGTGGAAGGTTCATTGCTTCGGGTGCAGGGTTTACGCCGACCACACGAGGCCCAGAGTACTCGTCCAGGTACTCATCCGACTATTCTGATCGACATGTATATTCGTCTAGACAGCGGTACGCGCCGACACCTCTCGGATCGTCATATTCCCCGGACTCGCGTGTCCATGAGCAGTCACATTATCACTAAAGAGGTCGAAAAGGCATCGAGTTTGTCAATATGGTTAGGTACATTTTTAATTAAAAATGATATTTACAAGTGCATTTCGTAGTATCCGTTAAAGATTAGGCACCAATAATAGTCAGTTTCTACCTGCAATGACACTTTACTGGCATGTGGTCTATCAAGTAAGTGACTAAAACCCTTTCAAAGATGTTATAAAAAAACCCAATCCAACCAAATTTTATTTTTTTACACACAAAAGTGACGACGTCGTCCCTCCTCATTTGTCTATTATGAACGAGAAGGAGAAGGAGAAGAAAAATGCATCAGAAGAAGACGCTTTACACAAAAGTAGCAGCAGTAGAATCAGTCGCATCAGAAGTTTATCAGATGAATCAAGTGTTTTATTGTCTCCATCGCATCGTCCCGACCAACGTCCGAGATTTGATTCCAAGGCGTCATGGGCTGATTCCACACGTTTTGACATGGGACGAGCTGATTCCCGAGCTTCGGATGTGTCTGCAAAAGAGTTGAGACTTACGGGTTTTGATAGAAGAGTCTCTTTGAGTCACAATCGACAACGATCGGATTCAAGAACGTCTCGATTGTCACGAACGAGTAGTCGCTCAAGTTTAAGCAGTGGGTCAGTGAGAGGTCGTGAATCGTCATTTGTATCGAATTTTGGGGTCACGAAAGGTAAAAAACGTACCGACAGTAACGCATTGTCGACGATTACGGAGAATTGGAACTTGGATGATCAATTTGGGAGTCCGTTTACGGAATTTGATGCACAAGGTGAGAGAGAGAGAGAGAGAGAGAGAGAGAGAGAGAGAGAGAGATGAGAAATTGGTCGACGGTTTGGTCTGAAGGAGCTAATGATGTCGTGGTGATGTGTGTTTGCTGACAGAGCAACCTATTCGAGAGGAGTTACAACGTGGATTGGCTATTATTAATGATCATACAGTAAGATGAAGGAAGAGGAGGAGAAAAAAATGACAAGAAGAGAGAGATTTTGTTGTAGCTGATGAAATTTGCTTGTTTGTTTTCTGATACTGTAGACAAAACTAAAGGAGATTGAGGACGCAATTACAGCGGCAATGTCGGAAGTGTGGGGATACTGGGTACGACTTCATAGTGGATCGTTCTTTCTTTCTTTTGTTGTTGTTGTAAAGTCTAAGGATTATTGTGGATGTTTATACAGGCAGATCCTATTCAACTGTATCTTCATCCAGCTGAGCGCGTGGATGTTCAGGATCTGATTAAGACAGATAATGAGCTATTCAACAAGGTTCTTACGGTGTTTTCTGTGCTGTGCGACGAAATCTCGGAACTCAAAGTGACGGTGGAAGACAACTTTTACCCGGCACTGATCATGTTTGGTCAGGCACGCCATGGAGAGGAAGGCGACGTGAAAGCTGGTGAGGATGAAGTCCACATTGGACGCATGCTTGCGTTCTTCCAGGACATATCGAACTTTGTGGACCGATGCAACGCTATCACCATCAACATGATCCACCAGCTCGCGAGTCTGTATCAAAGTTTCCAGAAATTGTGGAAGTCCACGTTTAAGCTTGTACACCTTCACCCCGTGTTTGACGCGCTGGCAAGTTTGCTTGAAGTCATGGTCACTATCGATGCTATTGTTATTGACAACCCGAACATCATCACGTCGTGGGACAAATATAAACGCATGATGCAGTATGTGCGCTCAGACCCACCCCGGTACAACGTTACAGTAGACAAAGTGAAGCAATTTGAACGACTTCTCGTTAGTCTGGACCAGACGATAATGAGTGCACAGGTTTTCCAAAGCTGTATCGAACAAGATTTCGAGATTTTCTCTGGAGGCGACGTCGCGGACGATGAAGACAATTCTGATGGGAGTGACAGCGAGCGAGGCGGTAGACGTGCAAGCAGTAGTGGAGGAGAGTCCAGGATTGACATTCGCACGAACCGGGTTTTTCTGGATGAATTTGTTCATTGTATCAGTGCTCGTTTGAGCCTTGCCGAGGGTGCAATTACGTCAGCCACAGAAACGTTTGAAAGAAACGATCTTGTTGGCACAGCGGGATTGTACGTGCTACTTCGCCGACTTCAGCCGTCTAATGTTCCGACAGACCCTGTGCTGTACAAAAGGCTGTGGGAAATGCAGCAGAAAGCTCCTTGTGTGACCATTTGCGGTAAGATCATGTGGTACATGCCAGACTTTTTGTTGAAGTACTCGCCTATGACATCGAAGAAGCTTTACCCCACCGACATTGTGCAATTCCGTCGTGAGTACTTGCATTCGATGGACGATGCCTTTCCAACTGATGTAACAACCGCCAAGTTGGAGTTAAGTGCGTGGCTTGTTCGTATGGAGTCATTTTTTCAGCCGACAACGCGCGGGATGGGTGATGCGTCACGAACTTTGAGCATTCGTGGCAACTTAATTCTCAAGGGCTTAATTCTAGCGAAACGAGTGCAGACTATGATGCACACGCTTGTCAACTTGCACCTTTCGCTTCAAATTCCGATGCCCAAGCGGGTGGTAAGACCGTTGTACACGTGTATTGAGATCCTGAAGGCAGTTGAGTTTATGTTTGCGCGGAAGAATCCTATCCTGGCCGAGTCATCGTCACACTTGCTGCGCCAAGTGGCACACTCGTTGTTCTCGTCTTTTCGTCCGCTGAAGGCTCATTTGGAAGCGAGCAAAAAGTTCGATGACACGAAGCTAGATGTTCTGGCCGCCGTGACGGTGCTAGAAGATATACTTAATTCTGGGGAGTCTTTTTCGTACACGCGTATCACAGTTGTTGATCTCGCGGCTCAAATCGCGATGATATCACCGGAAAACGGTAGTGATGCTAGTGAGAAGGGTGGCGATATGGACACTGCGATCCCCATGGGTCTTAAGGATGCCGATGAGCCTGTGAAGCTCATTTGGAAGCTACGTCTGCTGAGTGATTTTCAGCGCAAGATTCGAAATGCTTGCGATTGTTCCTTCTTTTACTGGAGTCGCGAGTTATTGCACCCTTTTTTGTCGGATATTTACCGTCAACCTGAACAAGTCAATCGAATCCAGTATATCGCTGGTGGCTTTCTTGACGCGATAAAGCTGTTGCGTGGTGCGCAGCACGAGACGAATAATGAAGTTTATGTAAATGCATATGCAGAGTTTATCGAGTCAGTCATGGAAGAGGAAATTGTGGAAAATTTGTGCAAGGACGTAGAAAATGATCTTCGTCTGCACGTGCATTCAGTCCACTTGGATCACTTGGATGCACCCAACCCGAAGAACGCTGACTTCAAGGTACTCCACTACTACCTCGATCTGCGACCCATTCGCCTTCACGGAAAGACGCTTGATCTACGTCAGCAAGTTACGCATTATCTCGAGAGCACGTTTTACAATTTGACCACTGTTGCACTACACGACTGGAAAACGTACGGTGAGATGCGTAATTTGGCTAACGACAAGTATGGTTTGAGTCTCGCAGATAATCATCTTCCCATGGGTTCGCTCGACCAGGGACTGGATATTCTACAGATCATGCGCAATATTCAGATATTTGTTGCGCGTTACAATTACAATCTGAACCAGCAATTCTTCTTGGAGCGACGCAGCGACAAAGGCTCTCGGCACCTGAACTCGATTAATATCCATTCGATCGCGAGCTCGATCCGCACGCACGGCATGGGCATCATGAATACGACTGTAAATTTTACGTATCAGTTTCTGACGAAGAAATTTGACATCTTCTCACAGTTCCTATTCGACGAATACATCAAAAGTCATTTGCAGCGCGAGAAACGCTGGTACAAGAAGCACCGTGACGACAAGGAGGTAGACAACAAATATCCTTTTAACCGAGCGTTCCAGTTCAACAAGGATATTCGAAAACTAGGCGTCTCGGATTCAGGCAAGACGTTCCTAGACCAGTTCCGCATGCTGATCACTGAGATTGGCAACGCACTAGGCTACGTGCGTATGGTGCGTTCAGCCGGCATGAACTATTGCAGCAATGCCATTAAATTTGTACCGGACCTGAACCACACGCACTTTAAGTTTGAAGCCTATGCTGGCGACGGCGTCGTTTTAAAGAATGAAAAGTCAGGTGAGGTAGTCAGGGACGAAATCGTGGGTGCTAAGCTATCCCGTGAGACTGTGGTGGCGGCTCGCAACCTCGATTCGGTTATCTCGACGCTGGCCAAGAACTTTTCGGAAAACAATGACTACTTCAAGGTGCTGGTAAAGGTATTTCAGGACGTTACTGCGAGCGATGAGCAAAAACATTTAGTCAACTTCTACGCCATTCTTCCGGCGCTTACCATCAACTACGTCGAGACAACTGTACAGGCGAAGGACCTCATGTATAAGAACACACGTCGACGAGAGTCGTACTTTTCGGATGACGGATTTGCGATCGGGGTTGCCTACATCCTCGCTATTCTGGACCAAGGAGACGTGCGATGCATTCATGCTTGCAATATGCTTGGTATATGTATATATTGTATTAACGTTTTATACTCCTGTGAATGTGTTCATAGCAATTTGACGCACTGCACTGGTTCGAAGAAGTGGAGCGCAAGTACAAGATCGAGGAAGAAGCCTACAACGAGAAGCAAAGTGAGCGTGAGGCCCGCAAGCGCGAGCAGGTGGCTAAGAAGCAGAAGGAGACTACTGCCGAGTTGATTGATGACGAGGAAGAAGTCCATACGTTGCAGCTCACCGCTAAGCGTATCGAATTGAACCGCCGTGAGTTTGACCTGCTTGATTGGTCTCTTAACGGCGCCCGGATTTTTTTCAAGGACTAAGAGCCCATTCAATATCCGTGTGGAACGTGAGCTTTTGCAGACTGAAGACGGCTGCCGACGTTTACGAAAATCATGAACTTTGGTATATAGCTGTCATTCGATCATCAGCAAACTTGGATTGAAACGATGGGCGAGCAGACACTTGTGGTTCGGGTGACTACTGTAACCAGCGAATGTAGGACGTCCTGCTGAAGGTGTGGAGTGTGTGGTCCTGCGCGTAAACTTGGATTGTTGAGCGCTGCTTACCATTGTAAAGGGGATAATACATTTGTGTCAACTGAATGGTCGGTAATCATCATACAATCACATGGCGGTGATACGACGTTATTTGTCACTTCAAAGTATTGGTTTGAGTTGTGACACTGAGATCAGCGTCGAGATAGACTACCAGGAACTGCAAAACAGACCAAGACATCTGAGCAAAAGATTACATACGCGACTCGATGATAAGTTACACGTCAACTGACGTCGATAACAAATCTCGTTTTACGTAAAGTGCTTACAATGGATCCCAAAACGTCGCAAGTACATCGAGTCTGCAGTGGCTGCACTGAAAATTCAGGCAGTCGTTCTATACAAAAGCCAGGCGTGGATGGTGCTTTCGGCGAACACATGAAGAGAACTCCCGATTATGCGATAACCTTCGTGCTACTAGCTTTACGTTGCTGAGATGCGCTCAAGTGGTAAGAAGCGTGCATATAGCTAATGAGAAGCACATGTAGACGAAGCAGAAACAGTAAAAGGGTAAGCAGATTTATGAAGCTAGAGTGGAGGCAACGACTTACCTCAAGATGAATTAATGCAAAGCACCATTGAGTCCGTGTCCCTGCTGCATAAGTCTGATATCGTATAGTTATATAATTGCTCGAATACCTAAAAAACGCTTCTCGTACCTCCAAAGTAGCTCTAATTGCTGCTCGGTCACTGCATTCTGGACGAGAAGCTTTAGCTCGTTAATGCTTTGCACAATTCAGTTCATCGTTAGACTTTGTCAATACGAATTGTAGGAAAGTCCGTACCCTTTGGAGAATAGATCTTCCATGCAGATCTTATGAAGAAGTGACTGTGCTGCGTAGTTATTGATGATTTTCGTCGACACGAGAAAACGTTCGAATTGCGACTCGTCTTCTAGCAAGAACGGGCGCTCGAACCACATGCGGGGTAGAACAAGGTGATCATTCAGGGCAGTTTCGGCGCATTGATTGACGATCGCGCGCACGAAGCGGCCAGCTTCCTCACACGAAAAACTTCATCAAGTAGCACAGGTTAGCTGTCATCACGACATGAGGTCAAATTGATATTCATACCTGGTAAGCACTTGGATTTCAACCCGAAATTGCACAAGCGCTGAGAAGAACAAATTCATCGCGTCTTCCATGCCTGTAGCTGGGGGTTTATCGAGGACTAGAATAACGGCACAAGCATTAGCTAACGGCTTCTTTAAAGTGACAGCAGTAGAGCACGCGGTACCGATAACAAACCAGCACTTTTGGAATTGAAGCTGCAAACGAGCTAAGCTGAAAATAAAGTTTTTTAAACTCGTTTCGACTGCTTACGACAAGAAAAAAACGAAGGATGTCAGAGTGATACCAACACATATTGGCAGTGCTTACCTTGGAATATGGCACCGGTCACCACACAGATGCAGTTTCTTTCGTCGACTAACATGTCAATTGGTGATGGAAGATCTCGCTCGATAAAAGAGATCTGATGCTTCGTACAAAGTTCATCTAGAAGCTCATCCTGTCAAAGAACCGTATTGGTCAGTCCCAGTAACGGCTTTAACGATGAAAGGTTACTATAACCTGCTGCAGAAACTGGACTGAGCACAAGACGCGAACAGGTATGTTCTCTTTCTCCGCTTGAAGAAGTCTTTGCCTTTTTTGAGGTGGCTGAGGTGTCGAATCGTTCTCTGATATGCTGCTTGAGGTTTCTTGCACAGCGAGTTTGATCGCATTGCCTGAAGGTTCTCCGCGCGCTCCGATCACTTCCAAGAGTGTCAGCAGATCTTTCCAGTTGGAAGGTCCCAGTAAGAGCTTGTACTTGGCACTAGGAAGGATTCTAGACAGAATCGCCGCCATCATCTCGCCATTACGAGCAGCAGCTATCTGACCAATTGACACGATTCTAGTATTCCTAGGTTAGTCGTATTCATGATCTTTATGCAAGAAAAGTGATCTTACCGCAAAGTATGAAGCCAAGTAGCTTGACGAAGACTGGCGCAAGCCTCGACTATATCAATACTTGAGAATGCGGAAGGGTTCAGGCTCATTTTCCTCACTACCTGGCACTGCTTATAGATTATCGCTTCTAGTGCTTCCAAACTCACGCGATCAAGAGCTCGCTGAAAAGATGCCACATCCACCTGGAGCAACTTCTTACGCATCAAGTCCCACAATGCTGGTCGAGCTATCTGCTGAAGAAGTTGGTTGTACTGTAAAGGTTCTTTGGAATATTTTGAATTCATATCCTCTTTGGAGCTGGCATCCTCCGGATTGATGTCTTCTGGTACGTCACTCCAATTACACCTCAGGAATGTGTCGCTCAAAAAATAGTCAGTGCTCAGATCAGCGGTGGCTGCCAGTCTTACAGGCGCTAGTGGCAGCGGACCACCTTCAGGGAGTAGATCATTGCGGCTGTCATTTCTTTTCACGCTTGGTGACACCTCTGGTGACGTAATTGCTGGCTTTGATCCAATGCCATTAGCCTGACACGGGACTGGCACTGAAATACATGTGGAAGACACAGGCGATTTTGGTTGTGTTACCACCGTCTTCAGCTCCTCAGTGAACAAATTTTTTATGCCATTCAGAGTGACTGCGTGGTTCCACACACTTGGAATGTTCATGGATGCCATTGTCAGCGAGATATCGGTGCGCTGAAGATTATGTAAATATCCACTCGCAATTGATATGGTTTTTGATGGCGCACTATTAACCTTCGCTTCATCGTTTCGTACCAGATCAGATGGAAGTAAAAGCTGCTGTAGCTCCCCCATATCATCCGCAGGATAAACGCTGTAAAGTGGCCGTCCCCAATCATTGTCAAACACATTTGGCACGACAATATCTTTTACGAGAAGCGTCACTTGAGCATTTGCTCGAATCATCTTTTGAAGAAATTTGCCTGATTCATCGTAAAGAAATCCTTTTCCAGACACGTGCATGTCATGCCAATCACATTGAATCCGTCGTGGCTCGAGCAACGAGAATTGTGCTTTTTGTAGCTCGTCAATCTGACTAAGAGACTCCTTCGTAGGAGATTCTGTGCTGTAATTCCACAACTCCTGTACATCTGACACCATCTCTTTTTTCTTTACTGATGACATATCGTTCATCAAAATGACTCGACGTAGCCACTCGTTTCCACTTTGCTTGAGTGTAAAATAGTCCCACCTTAAACTTATGTCTTGAGTAATTAGTTCCAGCGTCTTCCACCGACAGCATGACTCACCACGCCGTACTAGACAGCTCTTGCACGTCTGATCTTGATCATCTTGCCAACTTTATCATGCTATTTGTATCAGCAATCGCACTCGTTTTAAGTGCATTAATTATTGACCAACGACATTCACTCTCACCTTGTTAATGTATCTGACCCTTCTGTTGTCTTTGTTTGTACTTGGACAGGAGTAATCAGGTCCTTCACTGAAGCACTGTCTATGTCTCTATCTACGCTTTCCGTCGTCGTCTTGTTTATGTCGGTATGAATGGCACAATCATTACCAGACACCACACGTGGTGGATCGAGCTCCTCTTCGTAATATTTAACGACGCAGCCCATTATCTTGCTCGTTTCTGCACGAAGCTTCGTACGCGCTGCAATATTAAAGCCTTTAGTGGTGCTGATGTGTGGTAGAGGCATCGACATTGACGCAAGGAGACCGCCCGCGTCGCTTGGCATCTTTACTTGCAGAATGAAGGTCGCTCTCGTTGAAGTTGGATATTCAGTGCAATTTATTTGTATAGTACCCAAAATAAAGTTTAGGTGACATTATCACCCAAACTAAATTTAGATGACATTTAGAATTTGGACGAGGTCTAAAATCGACTTTTTAGCATTTTCCAGATCGATCAACATGGCTGAGAACGGAAGTTTGCTGCTCGGCTCGGAACTGGGTATTGGCGTGAACGCATTGGTTGGCGGTCTCGTGGGGCTGCATGTTTTGGCATTGGTGTGTAGTATGCACTATCTCGTGTTTACTTTTACACTATCGCTACTAATAAAGCGCTTGTGGTCAAATCTCTGCGTAGGTCTACTGGCTAGTCAAGCTCATGCAGGAAAGTTCCAAGACTGCCAAAGACGCTGCAATCAAAAAGCGTCAATAATGCAGCAGTATAAAGCATTTATCAGATTTTTTGTATCAGTGTGATATTCTCAGCAGCTAGCAGATAATCCTGCCCCCATCACACAACTGTAGGACCATTCAACAAGTTATTTCTTCTATCGTAAACCTCGCAAGTTCAGCTCTTGCATTGCTCGGAATCGTCCAGTGTAGTATCCAGACTGATACCACGCCATGAGTACGTTCGCTAGGCCGTCGTCTGGCACTGCTGCATTGGGTGCCAATCCTGGAACCTGAGCTGCAGGCATCCCAGGAAACGACGTCGGATTAGACGGAATGGGCGGTGGAGGCGGAAAGTACGGTGATTGGACTGGCATTTGCATGCCCTGCCTATATGGCTGCGGATTCGAAGTAGGATACGCGGCCTGGAACTGACCTTGGAGCTGGGCATACGCTTGCGCGTAGGCGGCCTGATACAAATCATTTTGCTGCTGCTGTTGAGAGGCGAATGGGTTTGCTCCAGTTGCATGAGCTCCTGCGTTTGGCTGTCGACATGTTCCTTCCCGTCCTGCTAGATCTTCGTCTCCGTTTTGTAGCTCTTCGTCTCTCTCATCAATAGTGGTATTCCTGGTAGTATTATTGACGTTAGACTGCAACGCTGCTGCCCTTTGCTTTCTAACATTTAACAGCTGACGTCAGAGAACCAACCATTCCATCATACAGCAAGTACATGTCACACCTGTTAGTTGTCTTAACACTTGCAGTGCTGCGTGAATACTGTTCACTAAGCGCTTCTTCAAACGCCTGCGAGCAATAAACAGCTGATGCATGAGACAATGACATCAGATAACTCTGAATATCTTCGACCACTTTACCCGGACAATGGCCATGTCGTCCCATTGTTCCTCAAAGTCCTGCTCACTATCTCCCTACAAAGAACATACAGCAATGTAGACGTTAAGAATATGAGAAGCCCGCAGCGTAATCGGCCAACAGCTTCGCTCTTCACCTTCGACGCCATCTGAGTGACCTGCTCGCAACGGAAAACGGATAACTCAGCGCCGTATCGACTTGAAAAGGGGCTGAATAAAACCAATTTGTAACTTCAAAATGTCGCCGCTACTGCTTTCCAAATTTTGATAGAAAAATAAAATATACAGATCTTTCCGGCCAAAATGCGAAAGGTGGTTTTAAATACAAATTCGAGAAAAAATACTAGCAGAGTCTATGCTTAAATGGCTGAGATGCAGAATACATTACCTGCAAAGATGTAAGTGCAGAACAAGAGCTTGTTGGGATAGGCGACATTACGCTACGCGTCGAGCTTTTTTGTCAGCTTTGATACGGCAGAAAAGCTTTTCGGCGCGTGGCATCAAAGCTGACAAAAAAAGCTCGACGCATAGCGTAATGTCGCCTATCTCGAGTCGCTCTCGCTTTTTGACGCTCGTGCTTTTATAATACCTCGTGCTAGGTCATGGTTGTTCCACGCCACACCAAACAATGCCATGTGCAAATTTGCCTGAATATTTCTACTCCAACTATGACGGCATGCAGTCGTAAGATTAGTCCAAATTGCAGTGTGGAGCTAGAAATAGCACTATGAGCCAAGTATCATCTATATATGAACCACAAGCATTTGAAATTGAAAAGATCATTGTTTTGTACATGAAGTGACCATAAAATCAAGATGAATCCTCTTGCTCCTGTGCTTCAAGAGTAGTGGTTTGTCCTGCTCTTATTTTCTACGAAACAGCTGCGTTTACGGCCGACGACGCAGCTGGCGCTCGGAAAAATCTTTTACTTGCCTGGGTGGCCCTTAATTTGTGGCTGGGATTTCCTGCTGACAGAAACATGCAGATCGGAAATGTTTCATACTTTTCAGAGCATAAAATACGAGAGAAAATTGAGCATGATGCGTACGTAGTAAAAGCTATGAGTAAAATGAGCGAAAAAACGTTAAAACCAGATTTAAGTAAAACCATTTTAATGAAAGGCATGTCCGCTCGGTTATGAACCAATTGCTTGTCCAATAAAAGGGTGGGATGGGTTTTTACTTTCTTCCATTATGGGTTTATTCTTTGCACAGGCGTTAGAGTCAGTCGAAGTGTCTTCGGACCAAGCAGCAGGTACCCCAGCACTTTAATTCCAACGCCTTAGGTAACGAAATAAGCCCCTATACATGCGCCCTTCTGGCCGAAGGTTTGTGGCTGTGCTCCTAAGCACTGTCATCCTAGTAGCACCATACACAGAAGCAGTATGGACAATCGATGTGGTGTGTCCATCATCTCTTGAAGCGACTCTGACGATCTCGGATCTCACTGCATCGTACCAATGCTTAACCACAAGTGAACCGCCAGTGCCGATGGATGTCGGTTATTTTATGATCAATGTGAAAGTTAAGAAGCTCAAATTGGAGCTGAAAAGCTCAAGTGTAGAAAACATGTGAGTCAGTTGTCACTCATTCTCTGGCAGTATTGCTTTGTAAGTGTACAATGATTGTTGACAGTGATACTGAATGTTCTATAATTACACCACAGAAATATCTCTTCTTCTGCACCTACGAAGCCTACGTTAATACCGTCAAAGTTGGATTTTTCCAACTTTAGTCAGCTCAAGGGTTTGTGAGTGACAACTTCTTTTTCTTGGCGAATAATTTACTGGCTCTGACGCTGATACTGATACTTCTTTTACTTTTTTGTAGGACGTTTATGAGTCTAGCTATGGGTAGCGTTGAATTAATAATTCAAAACGTCACAACAGACATGTAGGGGGACAATTTTTGGCTTCATCTGGATGCTTTCGGACGAAAGAAATACTGATGTTGATGACTTTTTGTGTGATACGTGGATACTGTGCAGACATATTATCAACTCAACCATGACGGATCTATCCCTACCGCTTCGCGGCGAGGCTTTGACTGAAATGTGAGTGCTGCTGCTGAGGGTTATGAATGAAATGGCCACTAGATATTAATATGCGTTTGTGTTGCCTCGAGTAAAGTGAACTAAATGGCACAACTGTCACGAAACTTCCAAAGTTCCTCTACGAACGAGATCTGGGTAGCAATATGGACATGTAAGAGAGCGATATTGTTTTCAGTAGTACATTTTAGAGGGCTGAACAGTTTTGTTGATTTGGCTTGGTGCTGGTTGACGTGCAGAACGGTAGATTTATCTTCCCTTAAAGGGGAAACTGAACTCAGTGGGGAGCAGCTCACCTTGTTGGAAGCAAATGCTCAGACCCTCTCGACACAGTCTTGGGCACAAGAGTACCATTCGAATTGCGAGTCGGTGGATATATTAAGTATGACGGTTTCCGTTGGAAGCCGCAAGAGGACAGTATTGTGCGGTTCCAGAAGCTCATCAGCAACGTCCGCAACTAAAAGCCATGCTTTCACCAATAGCGACCGGCCTGAGTTGGGAGATGCGGGCTCGAATGATAATGTTACCAGCAGTGGCTTGTCCACCGGAGCTCTTGCTGCAATTATCGTTGTAGTCGTAGTTATCGTTGTGACTCTAGGGTTCCTTCTTTTTCGGATGTACAAAAAGCGGAAGGCGGCCCACTCGAGTTCTCAGAAAAACGAAGCTACGGCGACGTTGATGAGCAAGAGCGATGTCGATAAAGGCTCATTCATTTCCAACGATGTTTTTTTGCGCAACTTCCGGTTGCCCCAGAGTACTGTCGCACTCGTCAAATCTGTGGGAACGGGCCGTCTTTGGATGGGCGAGTATAATGGCGGGAAAGTGGTTGTGAAGCGCGTGGAGTCGGAGGTGACCGACTCCCACGTGACAAAAGCGCTTATGGCCCAGGCTAGAACGTTTGCGACTATTTCGCATCCGAACATTACGAATCTGGTTGGGGTCACTTGGCTGGCTGGCACGGATTTTGCGGTGGTGACCGAGTTCATGGGCAAGAGCAACCTGAAGACTGTGCTAACAAACAAGGACGTGGATCTGGATGTTCGTACGAAGCTGCAAATGTGTAATGATGTGGCGTTGGCGCTCGCGTATCTGCATGAAACCGAGCAAAATATGTGTGCAAAACAGTTGTCTAGCCGGAAGGTACTCGTTAACAAGAACATGGAGTGCAAGCTCAGTCTTTTTGAGTGCGTCCCAAGCTCCGCAAAAACAGGAGGTCCAAGTAGTGCAGTTCAATATTCTTATGGTATGGGCGAGCTTGTGTGGCTGCCACCCGAGGTGATCACTCGGTCGTCCCCGATGAACGCGCGGACAAACAATATTTACGCGTTCGGTGTCCTGATCAGCGAGATTTTTACACGGGCATCACCGTACCAGTCGTTAATCGAGGAAATGGGTAACACCTTGTCAGACGTCGAGCTGGGAAAGCGTGTCCGGCGTCAGGATCCGCTAGAACCACACGAGAACCGGCAGGAATACCTCGCAGCGCCAGCAATCGTGCGGCAATTGGTGGAGCAGTGCCTCTCGTACGCACCTTTGAGCCGACCAACTGCGAAGGAAATCGTTGATATTTTGCACCACGCAAAGGAAGAACTAGCAACGGACAGCATCTAAGGAGGAAAATAGCCTACCATTGGGTATGGAGGAGAATTTGGCGACATTCGCCATCTGTGCTGGTGCTGCCTCCCCTGACTTTTGAGTCGCTGTTCTTCGTTTTAGCCGTTGGTGCTCCGCTAGGGCGAACTTGAGCTCTATGCTTGACGTAAGCGTATTTCGTATTTTTTCCGAGTCAATCTCTTCAATAATAAGCAAGCGGCCGGTTGTTTCTCGAACGTGATTAGTGGTGTCGAGTGCATATTGAAGGTTGAGCATCAAACATCAATTTTTGTTAGCTTCTCAGCAGCCCAGCAGCGTAGTGTAGATATTTTATTTTCGATCGTATTTCGTAAAAGATTGAGCGTGAACATTGAAATACCCCAGTTGCTGTTAACACTACATGCTAGGCCGGTTCTTGTAGGCTCATCGCTTCAACAACTCTTGGTGATTCGCAATTTGTTGTGAGCTCCTGAGTGAAAGCAGTTGGGGTGCTGAAAGGTATAGTGAACGAGCCACTGTAACGTCACTTGACGCCCGTGCTGTGGCCACTATGACGCAACTTTTCTAAAACATGAATGGATAGGAAGGTGGCAATGCATACATAACACAAAGCAACTGTTTGGTTGTCAAATTTGCATTGGCTGGTTCGTTCATTGGTTATGAGCCCAACGACGCCTGTCGTTTCCCGCGCGCCGAGGGCGTGCAAACGACACCAGACGACCGCGACAGAGTCGCCGTATCTCCACCAATCGAGACTGCAGAGGCAGCTGCGCGTGAGGTGGGAGGTGTAGAGTGATGTGAACCTCAAGATCTTCGACATTCATGCAAGAGCGCGTGGCTCGCCTCGAACTCTCTCACCTTAAACGAGAAGAGGACAAGCGCATGATGGGCGTCGCTGAGACAAAAGTGTTTCAGTCAGCGTTTTATAAAAGTGTTGGATCGTCGCGCATGGAGGTCATGCACTCATGCACACGCCTCCACCCGTTCAAGCTTCGGTATTTAGAGCTCCATATTTTCAGAGCTCGGTAGAGGAAGCTGTATGCTCGTATATTTGATGGAAAAGAACGGTTAGGCTCCGATTTCCTGAATTGGGGCCATCGTTTTGTTCGACAGCTCGTGTTGGTTCGGATGGCCTGCGAATCTATTTTGGTGAAGAGAAATGAAGTTTTTTTTGACCTCATACAACCTACCTGAGTGGCACCGCAGACGATACTGTCACAAACAAATAGAGACGTGGTGGCAGCAGCATCGTCTGTCACCACGTCTCTATTTGTTTGCAGCACGTCATAACGCAACTTGCACCAGACTTGTAACAGGGCATCTAGTTACACGCAAACATTAAGTAATATACTTAATGTTTGGTCTAAAGGTATCCATGATTACTTTTGACCTGTCACTTGGGTGCGATACACAAATGTAATCCACCCTCGTAAATGTGATATCCATTGATGGATTCACATGGGAAGGGATGACACTAGTTGAAGCTAAGGATCGCGATGTCTCAGAAGGACGTCATTCTCAAACTTGAATCTAGATTTAAGTTCATGCGGTAGGATACGCTCCTAAAAATTCGCGTATCCGATCTATATATATAGCCAATCAGTAGTTAACTTATTTAATTATAATTCATTAAATATACCTTAGTCTTGAATTTACTACATACTGTGAACTGCGCGCGAGAAGCTGAGTAAGCTTCTGCGTGACGTAAGTAGGACACTTGTTAGTTGTTCGTTGCACTCTCGCTTAAGCGAGAGGCAACTGGTGGTACGACTGCTAAAGCAGTCGACCAATCACACAACCATCCTCGCACGCGAAGGCAAGACGGTCTAACCGCTTCCTCGCTTGTGCTGAAGGTGTGTAAGTAACGAGGCAACTTCGTAGATGTGCCCGTCTACACATCAAGATCTACAATCGACGTGCAGATTGTGGCATATGCGGAATCTGATTTGGGAAATGATAGAGATGATCGACGCTCTGTGACCGGATATCACCAGCAAATGGAGCAGTTCTTATTGCGCTGACTTACAGCGTTTCTGAATATTTTGCTGCTTTACATGGAACATTTTGTGACAAATTACGGCGTTTCCACTGGAGTTACCTAAAGATATGGCAAAGTGGTGCAATCAATTTTTTTTGCAATAAAAATGCTAGTACCATCAGGCTCTCCAAACACTGAAAGGTATCTTCCATAGCACCCATGGCAAAATCTACAACCTTGACTTCTTTGAAAAGGAAAGAGCACGAAGAAGGGCAAGAAGCTAATTGAAGTGGTTGAAGAAGGTGGGGCCACAACAGATGATCCGTTTAAGCTGGTTGTAGCGCCGCACAATTTTTTTCAAGCGCTTAGAAAAATTTTGCAGTGCAAGCGACGAGCTGATTGATGTGAATGCGACTTTGCCATACCCGCTCACCATCTTTACCCATGGCCAATGTAATTAGCTCATCTACTAAAGCTAAAACCAGGCATCATAGCTTAATATATTATCATTGCCTGATTCAACGTAAAGTTAATGTCTGCTAACTCAACATCTGAAAGGGCATCCTATTTTACTTGCAGATTCCGTCACCAGGCACTTTCCGTCTTTTCTTTAAAAGCTCAGAATGCTGACGACGGTCTGTGTGTTAAGTATAAGCATGATGTGGTGGTGGCTGTGGTAGTGTAATGTGGTGTTGTGATATTCAAACAAAAGTTATGGTGTGGTAAAAATAGTAAAAAGTGTGCAAGAGTTATGGAAATAGTAAGAAGTGTGGTGGAAATAGTAATCTCCTTAGTGTTTTTGGTATAGAATTACTAGCTCTATTAGCTTTTGCTTTTTTATATTTTAAAGACAAGTTATATGTATAATTTTAGGATGACGTAAACATCCGAATTTAAATATATAGTTTTCCAATTTAAAGGTCAGTTTTATATTGTAAAGTTATGGACTATCGTTTCTTTTACTTTCACTCTAAAATTGTGCGAGCTTGTGTTATTCTTCGGACCGAAGCTAACGCGTGAGCTGTATATACGGGACCGCATACTCGTAAATCTCAAGTAATTCTTGCTGTCGAGCTCAATTTAATGCGTATTTTGATGTTTGAATGACGCAAAACAGGTCATTTTGAACCCATTACTTGTTTTTTTACAATATATTAGTAGACCTCGTCGCATTAGAAGATGCTCTACTAAGTACTTCTAAGCATAAAAACCGAGTCTTAACGGTGGGATCTCGAGTATCTTTTTTAGAAACTTTTGAGATCCCACCGTTAAGCCAAAAGCTCACTTTAGCAATAGCAATGACAATGGCGTCGTGGGTTCCATGGACATTACTACTGGCATTTCTGCCTTCAAGTGCGACCGAGTTGCTCAAAGATGAAGTGGAACGCCAACGTTTGCGGGTGGAACTCGCTCGATTGGCCAGAGACTACTTAAAGCTGCTGCTGCTTTGGTCCTTGCGAGTTGCTCAAGTCTTTGCTGGAATCTCGTTCCTCGTCGTATCGGCCTCAATGCTCTACGCCCTTTTCTATTTTCTTGTTATTCCGTCCAGATATCATGAACAGGATGTTTTCTTCAATTACGGCCCTCGCCACGGAGCAATCACTCAGCCATCCGATTACCCCTTTATACCAACAGCATCATTGGATCTACGAGATCCGGTGCACCAATGGCAGTCATTGGTGCCGGTGTCTAAGCCGACAACGTCCCCTGTCCTCGTCCCTGGTGTCAAGTATGACGTCATTCTGGAGCTAACGGTACCGGAGTCACGTGTAAACGCGGAGGTTGGAGTCTTTATGGTGTCCACGTCGCTGTGGGAGGCCAAGAACAAGAGGCAGCTAGCAGCTAGCGCTCGACCGGTGATGCTCCACGACCTGCCGATGCCTGTGCGCTGGTTAAGACTTGGATTCTGGCTCGTGCCGTACGCCTTGGGCTTCACAGAGCCGGTTCAGACGCTGCGAGTGACGGCAGTCAATGGATACCTGGAACACATCGAGTACCCTTTGACACGTGTTGATATTGAGTTGAACACCCCTATGTTGCAGGTCTATTCGGCAAAGCTTACAGTGATTGCACAGCTGACGGGTGTGCGCTACTTGATGTACCATTGGGCAGTCCCAACAGCTATTCTGTTCATTCTGAACATTGTGTTTTTGGAAGCGTTGGTGCTGGTGATCTTGTACGCGGTGTATGTTCTCCCAGAACTGGACGAGGAAGCAAGCGCTGATGTAATAGCGCTGGAAGCTGCTGCTACTGATGCGCGTGATAAGGCGAAGAAGGTGTTTGAGACGGGGACACCATTGGATGATGAGACTATCCCTCATGTGAAAAATGAGACGTTGATCGGTGAGGCGTCATTTACGACAACGGGTATGGCCGAGTCGTCGGCAGCCCTGGATGACGTTATTGAAGCGGTTATTGAGGACGCGAAGGAGGAGGCGATGGACGTGAAGAAAGAACAGGCTGGTGATTCTCCCTAAGGGCAAGCACGCTATACGCTATAAGCTTCGTAGAGAAGCAGGGAGATGTTTATTGTGCATGGCAAGTGTCTGCAATGCAGTTTTTGAGTTAAGTAAGGCACAGGGAAATAAGAGAACGACAGACTAATTCGCTTACAGCGTTGTGCCATGATTATTTGAACATGAACAGAATAAATATGCAGTTGTAGCCAGACCTGATAGCGATGACGATTGATCGAGCCTTGCTTGTCGTCGCTCATCGTCTTTTTGCTGCGTCATACTGCAGTTAATAACCTTTTTTACTTACCCAGATCTACATTCTTCTCGTCCAGTTTTGAAGAGATGTAATAGTAGTAAACGTGTAGTCTTACTTTGAAGTTTGTCAACAATGTCCTCGGAATTCTACTTTGACTCTTCGTTATCTCCCAAAATTGCGATACTTTCCTTCCTCTTTGCTTACATATACGGAGCTGATTTTTATAGGTATTAGAGCAGTTTCCAGCGGCTCTTTAACAGTTTAGTATTGCTGTTTAGTCAATCGACGTTTGTCTAATAGTGCTGGCCTGTCCAGGATTACACGTACTCGATCAATGGTGGCATATTATTGAGCAAACTCGTATAATCGTTAGCTAAGCTCGCGCCGGCGCTGTGATGTAGTAGAAACCGTGTACATGTAGTCGATGTGGGCAGCAGCAAAAACGTTACGACGTCAGTCACTTGCCTCTATGGCATTCACTTCTCGAGAAGTATTCAGTGCCGTTAGCAAAAATTACTGTATTGCCACCATCAGGTGAGCGACACCATCGGCTCGTTCTCTACGTAAATGTCATGTCACGTTTTAATCACAATCGGCAAGTTTTTTCCGGCTTCAGGGCTTCGATTTCGAGTCTACCTATCCAGAAGCCGGACATCATTAAGACCTTCAGCGAGAGCCCGCACAACACTAGACCGTCAGCGTAGTCGTGTGCGATTGCCACGACCGTTAGATAATATAATTATTGAACTTACACTACGGTTGGATAACCGATCATATTGCATCATGTATAGTTAGTTAATGCTAATTTTTATGGATACTATATGATATCGGTAATACCGTACTGTGTCGGTTATGGCTCACTATCATTATCATGAGAGCCGCTAAGGCCCACAGCGTTTATACTACACGTACCGTTTGGCCCGTTACACCTCCTTTTTTAGATCAATTTTAACATTTTTGTAAGAACATCGCAAATGGATTTAGGGGACAGCGAGCCGTTTACAATGCGCCGCTTAGTCCGGTCGGCATTCTCTCACCGAAAGTGGTCGAGCTGATGGGTCGCTTGTAAAGGCGCCCATGCAGAAAAACACAAAGCACACGCGCCGCGATAATTTGCAGTCGTCGCTTAGTGCCTCTGTTACAACGCCGGTATTTTCTGCCGGGCTGTCAACAGAGAGCAATGATCCGTTCCTCGGAGTTTTAAATCTACCGCCTCTATCGATGTAGCCCCTACTTCTGATATCTTGTCTATCATAATAAAGAGTCAGAGTAAGCTTCCAACTCCACCGACTAAACCGTCGACCTCACTAGCACGCCGTCGCGAGGGCGGCTACGTGAGTGGTGGCTTGTCACCAATGCCGCCGCCATCCGATTGGTCACACTCGAGTGCACTAAAAGTGACGCTTCTGGAGCGTGCCACTATTAATACTAATGAACTTTTTAGCGTCTTTCCATTATGTAAACGGCAGATAAAAACACTAGTTCGTGCTTGCCCCATCCCCGTCGTGTTGCGTTTAAACAAAACAACCGACGAATACGAATCAGAGTTTCTGCGCCGTGGTACACCGCATTTAGATGCAGTAAATTAGCGGTCGCAGCGAATCAGATTCGTTATGACGCGTGCAAGGGAGTTGGGAGTATTCATTGGGTGATAACATACCCCCAAGTCCTTCTCGTTACGCTTCCCCTGATAGTCCCTCAGGACTTAGCAGAGCAAGTGCAGCGGTGCTGCTTCACATAAGCAGCCACCAGCCCAGGCACGTCGACACGCAATGCGTCAACCGGTTCCCAAGAGTCGAAAGTCGTCGGGCATCCCTTCCAATGGACAAGGATCTGAAGCTTTTGCTTCACATAGCGGTGGGCCAACAACCTTCCAACAAGGAAGCGTGTGTTTCCACCCGCATCCACCAGCACAGATGGCGCCCGATAGGAGTGGCGATTACGCCCACCTACTCGCGGCTGCCGATCCTGTTGTCGTTCAGTCGCAGGCGGAGATCGCTTCGCTGAAGAGGCAGGTGGCAGATCTCGAGAGTCAAGTCTCGCGACTGGCTTTATATTTATGAAATGTGAGAACCAAGAACCGTCAGGATTATGACTGACTGAAGGCCAGTTTGGACATACACGAGCGACTGGTGATGAGAGACCCGCGTCAAGCGCGGAGTCCTCCTCGATCACCGAGTCCTCTATCGCCTCGGTCGTATACGGGGAGCCTCTCGGCTTCCTCGTCGCCTGATCGGTCGCGACACTCGACTCACAGTCGACGTCACCATCGGTCTCGTTAGACCGATGTGGATCAATATACCGTTTCAGACGACCCACCTAAAATACGGGGTGCGTCTTCATATACGGTAGGATAGTGAGCCTATACTTTAGGTCTCCAACCAACTCGACCACCGTAAATGGCTCAATGAATCGGGCATTAGCTTAGTAGTACCACTAGGTAGTACAGAAATTTCATTTTTAGGTAGGGTAGCAGCACTTAATAGCACTTTGTCCCCAACACTAAAGTGTTCATTGTTTTTGCGACCATGTTGGTCCGCATATTGTTTCTACTTGTTCTGTGCGCTTGCCATCGCGTCACGGACTTTAAGTGTGATGGCTAACCGCTCATCCACGAAGCGCTCAGCTTCGCTCTCGCTTTTAGCATCCAGATCGTCTATGAAACCCCCAAGAGGTCGGTCATGGGTCGACGCTGTTGATAAGAGGGTTGTCACCTGACGATAATCCATATCTGGGTCTGGGTCTACAACCTGGGACGCATCGTTATAGTTGAAAGTTGAGGCATACCTGTTGGTATCTACTGTAGTCTAGTCTAACAGGAGGGGTTGTCACCTACGAGGTTTTTCCCTCCTCAATCCTAAAGTTGCTCAGTGAAAATTAAATGATCCGTGTTCTATATTGTTGTAAGTAGATGGTAGTTGCACTTGTGCAGAGGTAGTTAGAAGTAAAAATGAATGTATTAGAATGTTATCTTCGTTCGCTAACACTATAATACAACATGCACTGCAACTTGACCATAACATGTTTGCGTCCGTCATCTACGTCGTCGTCATGTCGCTCAACGGTCATGTCGCCACCTCGTCCCATCACCTGGTCCGATCTTATCGTAACGCCTGTCACGACACTTGTCACTGTCGTAGCCTCGTCTCACCATCTGTCACCATCGTAGCCTCGTCTCACCATCTGTCACCATCGTAGCCTCTTCTCACCACATGTTAAGATATGTGTGACTTTGACCAATCAGGTGTCATCGTCACATGTTATACCTGTTGAACCTGTAATATAACAATGACTGACAAGACGTTTCTAAACAGGCATTTCTAACACTCCTCCTCGGTGTCAGCCTGAGTGGTCTTTAACCCGAACATTGCACGTAGCTCTTTCATTCTTGGCGCCGGCAATGACTTCGTCAATATATCGGCCATCATGTCTTGGGACTTGACAAATCTTGGAGCCACGATCCCATCTTTCGCGTAGTTGCAGATGAACTTGAACCTGATGTCTACGTGCTTGGCGCTTGACGTGCTCTTCTCCGACTCTACCTGCTTGATAGCCGCTTAAATTGTCTATCCACATCGGCATCGGCTTGATCACGTTCAACTTCAATTCTTCAAATAGTCCCTTCATCCCTAGTAGCTCGCGTCCGGCTTGAGACGCCGCGATGAATTCTGCCTCGACGTATGCATTCGGCACATCACCATGTCGAGCTGGTACCTATCAACGTCTTGATAGCATCAAGATCATCTTCACCGTGCTCAAGTCCATCACCGCTGCAAAGGTGAGGTTGTAGTCTACTCCAAAGACTTGTCCGTTTCCACAGACGACCAGACGAGCCTTGTACCGCTCTATGTCCCCGTTAGCATCCGTTTTGGTCTTGTACACCCACTTGTTGTGGAGAACGTGCGCATCCTTGGGTGGTGCAACGATCGTCCAGACATCGTTCGCCTTTAACGCGTCCAGTTCTTCGATCATGGCGATCTTCCACTCTTGATGTTGCTTGCTCTTGACCGCTTCTCCATAGTGCTTGGGGTCTTGCATTACGTTTACATTTATCACATCTTGTTGTTCAGCAGAACCTTTATCTAAAGGTTCTTCAACCTGTTGCTTGCTGATTGACCTTGTACCATGTCGCTCTCTCGTCCATCCGAGTTTTCGACCCTTAAGTCCTTTCGTGACCCGTTTTTTGACGCTTGATTGCACTTGAACATCCGGTTGATCATCATTGGGTGACTCCTCCTGATGGTCGACTCTCTTCAAGTGGGACTTGACTTGTTCGTTTTGCTCATCCGACAGTGTTTCAATGTTTTGCACATGTTGTGTTACCACAACCACCTTGTCCTTGGGGATGTACACTTTGTAATTCTTCGTCTCGCCACTTTTGCCAATTAGTATGGCTGCCTTCCCACGCTCTCCAAAAAGTGACTTGTTTTTTGTATGGACATGAACCGTGCTTGCAGAACCGAACACCACGATGTCATTCATCATAGGCACTTTTTTCGTCAAAAATTCTATTGGGGATACACCACCAGGATTCGACTTGGTTCGGCTCCGGTTGAGTATGTAAGTCGCGTACTCAGCAGCATCACCCCAGAAAGAAAGGGGTAGGTTCGAGGCGAACACCATGCTTCTTACCATAATCATAATAGTACGATGCATCCGTTCAGCCTTACCATTACTGGCTTGGTTTCTGGCTTCGCTCACTTGACGTGATACGCCAGTACCTTTGCAAAACACATCCAATGTCTTGTATTCGCCACCTTCGTCCGTGCGTAGCACGTGGATCTTTCAATAAAATGCTCGTTCGAAACTTACAAGGAACTGCTTGAACTTGAGTGCAGCAATATCTTCAGACTTGGCCAGAAACACACGGCAATAATTTGATAGGTGGTCAATAAAATTGACTAGGTAACGATTTCCCAGTCGGTCTCGTGGGGTTATCGGTCCCTTGAGATCATAGCATATCACTCCACCTATCACGTCGATAGGTGAGTTCATGCCCGTGTCCTTTTTCGACTGTGCTTTCTTGACTTGTTTTCCTTTAGCACCGCCAGGCAATTTATGCGTGTCAGGTCAGTCAGCTTAATAGCCGACCCCGGGTCTCTGGCCATCTTGATGATAGTATCGAAACAGAGATGGCCCAATCGGCGATGAAAGTGCATCAAGGTACCACTCTGAACATCCGAATCGTATTCATATTCAGGTGAATTAAGTACAGCCATCATCGCTTCCCGTGATGTGCTTGAAACGGTGTTACCGGGTCTCATCACCGTGACAACCAACACATTGTTGTTGCATTCAACATCCATTACCGGTGCACCTCCGACCCCGGAGGTCAACACACGCCTCCCTCCTCGATATTCGAGTTTTATACATCCTTTTGCCTCGAGCTTACCATATAATATGATATTTCGCTCGAGGTTTGCAGCATACTGAACATCGAGGAGCCGGATGGTGTTCACAACTCCCAGTGCGACAACTTCAATGTCGACACTTCCTTGCATGGTGATTCTCAGCACGCCTCCATCAGTGGCTGCCGTCAAACATTCACTCTGACAGTCTTTCGGATTAAACAGCAGACTTAAATCGTTTACCAAATGTCTGCTGGACCCACTGTCAAGGATCCAATTGTTGTCTTGAATATGTCCACCATTGCCAATTGCAAAGGTAAAGCTTGCCCTTGGTATCTTCTTCTTCAGTTGCGGGCACATCGACCTGATGTGTCCGACTTCCCCGCACTTGTAACACGTGCACTGGTCACCCTTACCGAAGGTTTATTTTACCTTGTCCTTGACCCTGTCCTTCGGTTTCTTCCTTGTTTCGACAGCGTTTACCACATCGCGCCCAAGATTCTTTGCATGAGTGTCGATCTCCGTCGACTGCGCGAATTGAGCCAGTTCTTCAGCCTGACGTAAGGGGTCGGTACGATGCATATCCAACCTGGACAACATTGTCGTACGCATATACGGGTCTGCGTAGTGGACGATATTGTCAAGCACTAGACTATCCGCACCTCCGCACTCATCACTCACGGCCGTGAGGTACAAAAAGTGGTCCGTCCAACTTCTGTGAGTTGCCTTTGGCGCCGTGAACAATTTCATGCTCTGGGCAGGTGATATCTTGGTGTTGAAGGTCTAGAGCAACCTTTGCATGGAATGCTCCAAGGTTTTGCTTTCAGACCACCAAGTTTTCACCTGCCGACGGTAATACGTCTGCGCCTTGCTGGCCAGGTGTTGTCCCAGGACATCAACCTTGATATCCTCCGGCCACGCGAAACCACACGCACGCTCAGCAAACCCGACTTGACGGACGAATTCTTTACCCCATTCAAGGAACCCACTACCGAGTCCGTGGTATAGTTCCTTCCCGTCAAAGGGTTGTAGCGCGAGCTTCCGGTGTTGTGCATCTGTCATACCGGTAACTTGTAGTCCAGGATGACCGTACATCCTGTTTGGCATACCCGCGCCTGGATAATAGTCTGCAGGTATTTCCTGCCTGTAATGTACAGGCCCAGGTCCTGCCTCCATGTTCACGTTTGCTGCAACATGTTCCGCCGGTCGACCATCAACATTCACCTGGTTGTGGCGCCTTGCCCCGAAGTATGTCGCTGGAGACACGTCCGGGGATTTCTTGGGAGGAGGGGTACGCTCCAAAGCCTAGAGAGTCATCCCCGCTCCCACTCCCAGGGCCGAACCGAAGATTAACTCCGGTGACCCCTTGTTACCCTTGCCGACTTGCTCGTTCTGAAAAACCTCCATCCGATTCATTCGTTCGGATAGGTCCCCGAGCATGGTCAGCACCTTGTCCATTGCCCCCACGGGCACTGCCGACTTCTCTTCCAAGTGGTCGTTGTCGGTCTTGTTAGGACCTTCGGTCACCACAACGGGTCCAGCTTTAGTATCTGTACCGGCATCTCGCTTGATTGGGCTCATAACCTGTTGTAAGTAGATGGTAGTTGCACTTGTGCAGAGGTAGTTAGAAGTAAAAATGAATGTATTAGAATGTTATCTTCGTTCGCTAACACTATAATACAACATGCACTGCAACTTGACCATAACATGTTTGCGTCCGTCATCTACGCCGTCGTCATGTCGCTCAACGGTCATGTCGCCACCTCGTCCCATCACCTGGTCCGATCTTATCGTAACGCCTGTCACGACACTTGTCACTGTCGTAGCCTCGTCTCACCATCTGTCACCATCGTAGCCTCGTCTCACCATCTGTCACCATCGTAGCCTCGTCTCACCACATGTTAAGATATGTGTGACTTTGACCAATCAGGTGTCACCGTCACATGTTATACCTGTTGAACCTGTAATATAACAATGACTGACAAGACGTTTCTAAACAGGCATTTCTAACATATATTCCCTACTCTGTATTGTTCACCCTACAGAACAACGACAATCACCTGCGCAGTGATAAGCGTGACAGAGTCTGGGTCTACAACGCAGTGCGAACGTTGGAAAATTTCTTACTTGTTATACGAGAGAGCACTATGTCTTGCTTAAATGAGTGTTCCGCTTTTTGTGAGGATCGTCAGACTACGGACTACTTTGGACATTGTCTGACAAGACAATAGTGTCGAAGGATGTGTATGTCAACGCATCAAGACCTACAATCGACGTGCAGATTGTGGCATATGCGGATGCTGATTTGGGAAATGGAAACTTTTTTACGACGCATTCATGTGTTGAGTGTAATTGACGATGAGTCGATTGTACGAGCTTCGACAACAATGACACAATTTGTGTTTATATGTTATTTGGACAGTGCAAGAAGACATGGGCTCATAACCTGTCCCACTTATCACTGCGCAAATAACATATTAACACAAATTGTGTCATTGTGGTCTAGCTTCATCCCAAATCCACTTGATACCTCACGCATGTTAGCACACGAGATCTCTACTTTGCGCTTGTATTCTGCAATTCTATATAGGATCCTAAATGTAGAAAGCGCATCAAGAATCTTGACCAATTAGTACAGATTCTGGTATGGGGGGTGTATCTAAACAAAAGTTATGGTGTGGTAAGAAATAGTAATAAGTGTGCAAAGTTATGGTGTGGTGAGCATAGTACAATGTGTAGTGGAAATAGTACAGAGTGTGGTGAAAATAGTAATTCCCTTAATTAAATGATATAGTTCTTTTTCTTGTTGCAATGACAATGTTGCGAGGTTTCGTTCGTGGCTATCGACGTTTAGTGGCCACGTTGGTATCACCACAGATCTGTCCGATATGTCTGGAAATTGTGCCCGTGCTGAGGCTACGTGACGTAAAGGATGACGTCAACGAGACGTATGCAAAGCTGCACTGTCGCCATCGTTTCTGTGCTGGTAAAAATTAATACATAGTTTATTTAATATTTGTCAGCTATTTATAATGGTTATATGGGTTAATGACAGAGTGCATTCGAAAGTATATTGAATTCAAGATCAAGACGCGAGAAGTAGATGAAGGTGCAATCAGTAAAATTAGATGCAAATGTTAGAATGAGATTTGACCATGTAAATAACTGTTTTTGTTGCTTTGTAGACCAATTAGTGTGTCCTGTGGTTAATTGTAAGCAGAGCATCAAGGAACATGACATGAAATGCATTGTAGGATCAAAAGAGATGGTACAGTATCGAGCGGTGTTGAAACGCAAGCGAGTACGTTGCAGTCAATTGACCTGGGTGTGGACAGATCGATGTAATGTACCTCATCGACTTGAGTGGCTATTGACTAGGATGAGAAGAATCCAAGTGCCCGGTGGTGTCCAAGACCAGGTTGTGATGAGCTTATCATGTGTGAAAGCACAGACAACTTCACTTGTCCGAAATGTGAGACGGTGGGCTGCTTTCGCTGTCGTGGATATGTACATTGGTTCTGGTTCTGTCGTGGCAAAGAAGACGAGTCGTATCTTGCGTGGGAAGCATCAGTAGGCAAACAAAAAGCAGTGCGGGCGTGTCCGCACTGTCAAATGCGGATTTGGAAAAATGAAGGTTGCAATCATATGACGTGCACGCGTTGCCGGTTCGAGTACTGCTGGGTTTGCGAAAACTCGTGGAGTGCCAGTCATTATGCGTGCTACAGTCTGCCATTTGTAGGGGCCTCGACAACTTGGGGACGTTGGTTGCATCACACGTTGGGGTATGCTGTCATGGTGTTGATCGCGGCGGTGATATCGACATTTGGCTTTTACGCTTTTGTGGGCGGCTACGTCGTATTCGGTGCCATTGTTCACGCCATGCGTCGTGCTACCGGCAACCCGGGAGTATTGATGTTATGAATAATGACGGCTAATATCACATCGGTATGTACTGCGGAACAGGATGCTGTTTCCCCATTTGCACATGCCTGAAAATATATATATGCATACCTGAAAACACTTTGGATGCTTTTATGCTAACGCAATCGGAATGGACAGAATATAAAACATATTCAACCCTAGGCTTAACTCGTCGGCGCATCTTGTCGTTGCGGCTCCTATGAGTTATGATACTTTCGGAAGATATGGCCAGGCAAGACCCACTGGTCCCAGTCCTTCTCGTACTTGAGGTAATGCACGTAGCAAGCATTCGTGCGAATGACCTTTAGTACAATGGCGTTGTATAGATCACCCTTGCTGCCCCACCGTGCCATCACCGCTTCCTGCACCTTAGGTGTCTTTTTCAGAGCCACCTTTTTCCCCTTCTTGCGCTGGTAGAGAGAGGACACCGGCAGAAACTCATCGTAGATAGACTCCCAGTCGGAATAGTGGATCTGCACCAGCACTTTGTCGTGGACAACCTTCAACACTTCAGCACGATTGCGCTTCTCGAAGACCTGAACGCCAATAATGTCGCCCACCTTTAGGTTCAGCGAATCCCAATGGGTACTTGCAGCCGTTGCTTCCGCCTTATTCTTGGCTTGCTCCTTTTTGTTAGCCGCTGCTTCAATGATATGTTTTGCTTCAGCCGCTTCTTCGCCCTTCGAACCAGCCACTGCCTTAGTTAACGTAGAACCGTGGGTCGAGTTTTTCTTCTTGTTCAACTTGGCACTAGAATCAACGCGCACAAGCAAGATGTCGATGTCGTCCAGAAGCTTTTTCCAGTCCCATGAGTCTTCAGTGGGCAACACTTGTTCCAAGGACAGCATGCGGCAAGCATGGCGCAACCCACGCAACGTATCTAGTTTGCGCAGTGTGGCGACCGTTTTGTCGAGGACCTGGTTGTTGGCATGATAGATTTCCTCTATCGCGGACATTACATCGTGTGCTGCGTTCCAAAGAATCTCGGCGTGATTAATTGATGGGGAATCCTGCGCCAAAAACGATCGCAGGAAGCCAGTGAGACTCACCGTATCAGCATGGAAACGGTGGCACGACAAGCACGCTGTGACGTTCTCGCACGCATGCAATGTGCCTTCAGGCATGTATAAAATCTGCCCTGGCTTTACATCGACTCGCCATGCAGGCAAGAATGCCAGTTGAGGAATCTTGTCCAGATCCATGTCGTGAAAGTTCACGGACTCGTGCACAGAGTCTAGCTTGGCTGCCTCGCGATGCAACATCGTCACACGTTTTGAGCCGATAATTGGGGCGATAGTGATACCCAAGCCACCCGGGTCCAAGTGCATACGACTCCTTGTGCTCTTCTGGCCCATGAAAAGGTACTGCAGTGGATTGTCGCCACGCACCGCGTCCAGCCAATACAAAAGCAAGTTGTCTCCGAGCACTGGCAGCTCCTCGCTTTTGTGACAGAGCAATGCACCGACTTTTGGGTCCAAGGGAAATTGCCATTGGTGCAGGTAGTAATCCGACTTGCCATGCTCCCAGTAATTCTTCACGTAGTAGCTTAGCGGCAAATGGGTCTTTATGGGGTCAATCTCCTCGTAGTTGTGCTCCAGCACCGGCACCTTCACGTCGTGGATGCCGTGCAAGAACGCTGCAGTGTTCAGTGTGCCATCGGGATTCACCCAGCTGTCTGCAAACTTAAGCCATCCAGTATGTCCCTCTAGCAAGAACGGTTCACCCGCAAATCGCTTCGCCTGGACTTTTTCCTTCGCAAGGCGGTTATTCACATGGATCACCTCCACCTGCTTAAAATACAAGTGCTCCCACTGGGTTGGAATCGTGTACGTCGGGTTGGTAGCCCAGGTCTTAGCCTCTTCAGAGTCATACTTTGTCTCCTCCGCTAATTCGGTTCGTAGCGGCGGGGCAGCAACGTCGCTCCCGTTCATGTTTGTGTCGCTCTTGCCCACCTTGGGTCGCTTTTCCTCTGCACCAGACTCTGTCACTGTTGTCTTCTCCAAAGAGCGTTTGCAAGTACTGCCCGTCTGTTTGCCAAATATTGGTGCCAGCTTCACCTCAGTTGGCGTTTCTCTTTCATCTTTCGTCATAGGCACTACCTCTGTCTCCGACGCACTCACGTCCATTTTCGTCACAGCTTCTTCTACTGTAGTTTCACATATCGTGCCACCGAAGAACGGAGGACGCACTGGCAGCAACTGACCCGTCAGAACTAAAAGGAGCAACAACAATAAAGAGAGTTGTCAGCCTTAATGTTCACTGACACCAACAACAATGACGCAGCTCCGTATACCTCCCACGATGTTACTTTTGAAATACTCGAGTGCTTTCACATTAGTCTTTAGTAACTCCAGCATTCCTTGGATTGCAAATGCAGCTCCAATTGTTCTACCATAATAACAACAAAAGACAGACTCAGATCAGTTCCACTTATGACAAAAAAACGCATCTTTACAGCCACATCACTTACTTTTCTTCCATCAATTGCGTGTGTAATTTGTACGCTTTCTGACTCAGCTCTGGGTAACCGGCAAGTCCCTCACTCACCTGCAGACAACGGACATGAGCGTTGTCACATGCCCTTTATCTCTATTAAAATCACATAGACGAAGTCTTACGCACTTGCAATATGACGCGATCCAACTGGCCATTTTCTAGCGGTGCTGATGTAGCCAACACACCCTCGTCCAGCTCCACGTGCTGCTCGAACGCTGCAGCTGCCGTCTCCATCGTGGTCTTGCTACGTTCGATCCTTTGCTAATTTATCCGACCAATATCGTGCTAAGTACGAATGGAGGATATGTTTTCTTAAAACCCTAAAACCCATTTTTTAATTAATACTATTCATGGTATTAATCTTGAGCGAAGATACTTGTGGTCAGAATGAGTGATTAAAACTTCTCATGTTTTATATGTACCTACCCTTTGTTGTTGCAGCTTTTTATTTCGTCTACAATCATCCTACTCTTCCACTTATCCTACTCTTCCGATCATCATAGCGTTGATCAATTCTACCGTTATAAGCGTGATGACTTTGAAATAGCTAGGTTAATCGGTTTATGGTCACGGACCAGCATCAGACCATTTTTTTTACCTCAATACGCTAGTCTTGGTGCCTTGTATATGCGCTTAATCACAATTCAGTGTTCTTCGTGGGGCAGTGTATGAAGTGCGATACATAACCTGTAGGAAAAGGAACGATGCACTTCCGCACAAATAAGAAGAAGTAAAAGTAAAATATATTTAGCATTAACTACTTTCGTTTGTTAATACTACAACATGCACTCCAGTAACTTTACCATGTACTTGTCAGATGGTACTGATCTTACCTGCCCATCTCGTACCACATTACAGCCGTATCGCCCTGTCCCAACTGTCAAGCTGTTGCCCTGTCTCTCCCTGCCCCATCTGCACAATCCTCTCCTCGTGGTCCCACATGTGAAGCTGTCAGACAGCCGATCAGGCAGGTGACAACGTCCTACGGTATAGCACTTGTATCTTGAAATTTGAGATACCCGATGGTTTCTAACACTCCTCCTCGGTTTCATCCTGTGTGGCATTCAACTGGAACATCGCTCGCAATTCTTCCATTCTTGGCGCCGGCAGTTCCTTTGTCAGTTTGTGGGCCATCATGTCCTTTGACTTTACAAATCATGGCACCACAATTCCTTCTTGTGCATGATGGCAGATATACTTGAACAGTATATTCACGTGCTTGGCGCTGGAGGTGCTCTTCTCCACATCGAGCTGCTTGATGGCGGCTTGGTTGTCGATCCACATCGGCATGGGCTCGCGCACTCGTAGCTTTAATTCGTTCAGCAATTCCTTTGTGCCTAGTAGATCACGGCCAGCTTGGGATGCCGAGATGAACTCAGCCTCCATAGTGCTTAGCGACACCCCTGATTGATTCTTGTACATCCATAGAATGACAGCTCCATCCATAGTTATCACGCATCCTGACACAGACTTACGGTCAGCCTTGTTAGCAGCAAAATCTGCATCACTCCAGCACTCAATCCGTGCGTCCTCTAATGTCGGTCCAACACCATTTAGGTGCAACTTCAAACCCTTTGACATCTTCAAGTATCTCATGATACGCTTTGCGGTCTTTCAATCCTTCGTCGTCGGCTTGTGCGTCTGTCTCGTGGCCTTGTGCACTGCGAAACAAATATCTGGACGTGTGCATCTTGCAATCCATAGTAGACTTCCCACTAGAGATTGGAATAACTTCACACTTGGTTCACCTTTTCCACCACTTGCAGGTAGGTAATCCAGATCACCTTCGTCGTCCATGTTGCACTCTTCACCGATTGAACTTCGTACTTCGTTAGCTGACTCCATCCCAAACTCCTTCAGCAACAGGTCGATCGTGACCTCTTGATCCAAAACGGACTGAGTCGTACAATTCGATGCGTAGTCCCAAAAACTTGTTTACCGCCCCCAAGTCATTTATAGAGAACGAGCTCATCTCAGCCAAAATCTTATCCACAGCGCTCTGTTCGGTGCCTGTAACCAACAGGTCATCGACATATTCACCGACCACTGTGCATGTCTCGCCTTTGTACTCATAGTTAAGGCACATATCCGTCGTGCATTGCTGAATTCCACCTTGTCGCAGCTTGAAGTCAAGTAATTTTCTCCACAGTCACCCATCCTGTTTAAGTCTATAAAATGACTTCTTCAACAGTAGTGCTAGGTCATTCTATAACTTCGCACCCAGGATCTTTAGCTCCTTCTCATCCAGGGTCATCCCCTTTGGTCACTTCATGTAAGTTTCCAGGTGCTCCTCCTTTTCAGCCTTAACGTACGCATTTAGTACGTCATCATGGCGTGCTGGTACATTCCATCGTCTGGAAAGCACCAGGATCAGCTTTACCGTTCCCAAGTCCATGACGGCCTCGAACGTAAGTGTATAATCCATACCGAAACCTTGTTCATTTCCACAAACAACCAGACGAGCCTTGTATCGCTCAATCTCTTCATTTGCATCGGTCTTAGTTTTAATAGACCCACTTGTTGTGTAGGACATGCGCACCCTTTGGTGGCATCACAACCGTCCAAACGTCATTTGACTCAAAGGCATTCAATTCTTCAGTCATAGCTGTCAGCCACTTCTCGCGGTGATCGCTCTTGACTGCCTCCCCATAGTGTTTTAGGGCCTTTGAGATGATTGCATTACCAACATCTTGTAGCTCAGCAGGATTAGTGACCCGTTTTTTCACACTTGGTTGTACTTATATATCCAGTTCACCATCATTGAATGACTCCTCCTGACGGTTGCTCTTCTCCAAGTGGGATTTGACATGTCCCTTCTGCTCGTCCGTCATTATTTGAACGTTTCGTACATGTTGAGTTACTACGACCACCTTTTCTTTGGGAATGTACACCTTGTATGTAGCAGAGATGCACAGCTCTTTATCCAGAGGAAGTTTAGGCTGGAAGCCTCTTATTTCTAGAGAACTAGATAGAGTTAAGGCTAAAAGCCACTTAGGTCTAAGGAACTAATTAAGCGACTTTAAGTCACCCTGTTCTAAGGAACGAGGAAAGAGACTTTTAGTCAGTCAAGCAATAAGCTAAGGTTCATAGAACCAACGCACAGAGTTCAAGAACAAGCAAGAAGGTTCAGAGAACCAACGCACGACGTGCACAAGAGAACAAGAGAACAAGTCAGAACGACTTGCGATCTTAAACTCAAAATGAGAACTCATTTTATTAATGCTTTTAAGATTTTATGAATAGTCCTACTCTAAGTACACTACACTAGAATAATTACTATAATAGTAATTATTATATGCAGACTTTGCTATTGGACGACGTATCGTCTAAACATCTGTGTATGATGTACTTAGCACAGCGTCATCGATTATCGAATCCAAATCGATAAGATACGGTATTACCAAATACCGTATCTTAAACGCTTATACTTAATACCTCTATAAAGAGAAGTATCAAAATGCATTATATGCAATAAAAGGAAACTTCAACCGTAAACTTTCGGAATGATATTACAACCGTCATGTAACCCCGTTACACTCTCCCCCACCAGACTGACGTCCCTAATAGAATGTCATTCGACATCTTTTCTCGTTGAGGTAGTGCTTTAGCGAACGTTAAAACCTTACGGTTGTTCACGGCACACAACAGGACGCCTCCTGGCAATGAGTCACAGACTCTACGGGACTTCATCGAAGGCGACCTTGACGAAGCGGATGATTACAAAAGTGACACCGAATTTTTGTGGGACCCGATGGGTCCCCTTTAACCACCCTTACGGGTGAAGATGACAGTAGTCATGCACCGAATCCGTTCCCTGAACGTGGTGCTGCAGATGCGCTAACAGCGTTACGTGACCCGTCTGACGTATCGTTAACGGCGACGGTTACCAACCCACTCCGCGAACAACAGAAGCAGACCATTGATCAAGAGGAAGGCGCCAAGCGCCGGAAGAAGAATATGGCGAGGCTTCAGGATCATCGACAGTACAAGTTCAAACCACCTACAGTGGAAGAACGCCTAAAGTTTGCATCTGGGCATTCCCTTTCTGACTGGGCCATTGGGCCTGAGGCTATTTCACCCGAGGATATTTCCACGCGAACGGCCTTTCAGCAACGCTATCTGGAACCTCACATTACTACGCAAAGCCAATAATTGGCACGCCTTACCAGGCAAGTGCGCGGTGCACCAGTTCCCCCTTAGAGAGTGTTCCCATCCTTCTGTTTGCGGGGGGAACCGAGGCAGACGAAGACACGACTCTTAGCCGCTGGGCGCATTATGCGCGATGTTTAAGCAGTATGTGGTCCCTACAGGCAAGTGCCGATGTGACAAATGTTCTCTCGAACGGAAAATGCGTTACGATTACGCTAAAATTGAAGGCCTGAGGAAAATTGAAATCCCAACGAACGCATTATGCGTCTGCTACCCATCATTTCAATGTTTCAACTACTCCTGTAGCCGCGAGTTCACGACAGGCCGAGGCCGTTAACTCGCCTACCCTCACCGCTATTGGGTGAGAAGCGTCATCGCCAACAGGTTGGCCCTGCGCACGACGCTCAAAAACGTCTACGGCGTACGGGCAGTCCTGCCGAAGGGGAGTCTCAAACTCGCATGAATTCCACGACTCGGGATAACCCCGCCACTTTACCAGATACTGGTTTTGACCATGGCGGCGACGCTTCTGCAGTAGACGCTCCACATGGAACTGTAGGTTCCCCTGCGCATCGAGCAAAGGAGGCGGAGCCCGGTGTATCGGCACAAGCTCATGCCGAGTTTGTTCAGGAGGTGCGGTCCCTTCGTGAGGAGAGGCAGACGATGAATTCCCGGCTTGCGTCCCTGGAAGAGAGTCGGACCCGTATGCAGGGTCAGCTTGACATGTTGGCGCAGATGCTTCGTCCCGCGATATTGCCAATGGGCTCGGCGCGAGCGCCTTCACGTTTACTTAGGACGGATCCCGATACCTTTTGAGCATACAAACATAGAACACAGGATGTGTACGCAATTTGCGCGGCAAGTTAAGCGTATACGCTGTGCCTTTCTTGGAAATGACCTTAAAGGGTCCAATAAAGCGCGGGCGCAACTTCGTCTTAAAGACAGCGGATACTACATTGGTAGGTAGATTTTTAGCATTTAATAATATTTGGTCTCCGACCTCATAATCATTAATACAACCTTTGCCTTTCGCATCTGCATATTACTTTTGTTTATCTTGGCTATTAGCCATTGCGTCTTGCACA